AGGATCCCAACTGCAATTTTAACCATCATAATGTATGTCCTTTACATCCTGATTTGTGACAGGATGTTTTGTAAAATGGGAAAGGTGGATGATTTATGAGGTATTATAGATGTATGCTGTTTGCATACCTGAGAAAAAGAGGAAAACTGAATTCCCTCCTTCTTTCTACAATATTCTGAGAAAACTCACATCTGTGCACACACCAAATTGCTAAATCACCGCAAATTTTTAGTTAAATTTTTCTGCCTGGGTAAGTTTGCTATCAGTGTAACTTGCCTTACAAACCTTAATTTTGTAAGAAATATTACAACTGAAGCTACCCAGGGTTGTGTAAGCTGATCTTCATCCACCAACAATTTCTCAATGAAATGTCAAATATTTTCCAGAATTTTCATTTTGAAAAGTACACTTTTATTCGTGGTATTTCCACAGTCTTAGAGGGAGCCCTGGGGAATGTATCAGAACCAAGACACCTGTACCCTACAGCACTTCCTCTGATGTGATAACTGCTATTGTAGTGGACTGCCAATTTATGTCATTTTGAGACATAACAAATGACACTGTCCGTAATGCACTGAACCACAACTTTCCTCATTTTTGAGGGGGAAATGGGTCTTTTCTCAGTGTTGAGGCACCACATACAAAAACATCTGTCATTAGGTTCCCTTTTTCTTAACAACCTGATTACCTTAGTTAACTGTATAAGAGATCACATTGATGCCAATAAAATATTATATATACTAGTGCTAGTAAAGAAAAAGTCCATCATGATCATCTCATTAACATGATCAATACTGTTTTCTTTATGCTCACTTTCAGTGTTCTCCTCTCAGTGCTAATTGGTCCACTGGTAAAGACCACAGACCCATATTGCACATCATGTCATCACAGCTGTTTACTAGTACTTACTTAGAATCACCAGGAATAAGCCAGGAGAGGGTAACGGACCATTACTCATCAATGCTTAGAACTGTAGGTTAAAACCTTTAAATACTTGGTATTAACTGACAAAAACAAGTCAAGCTGTTTAATACACTTCACAATACTGATTTATTATGATTTGGTCGAAAAGGAAAGATAAAACAACATTATCTTGCATACAAAAGGAAAACAAAATCAACATAACTTATCCAGAGTGACTAGGCATTATTCACTGGCTATACACAGCAGCAGAGAATGAGATGAGGCTATACTCTCTGAACCTTGTTGAGTTACTAGTAAGCCTGTTCATTGACAAGAAGAATTCAAGCACATCCAACTGTTAAAACAGTTAAGCACCTATTTTTTTATCTTTGAGTCAAAACTACTAATGATTGTAACCAAAAAGAATTATTTATTTTCAAACTTCCACTACCATAGTATTAGTCAAGCCAGCAAATTTTCAACAACAGATAAAAAGTCTGGTACCCCAATGAGTAAAGGTCTCCAGTCTCCAGATGATCAAACTACCATTTCTGCACTACAGAATAGGACATGAAATAGCTTTTACAGTTATCATTTAAACAGACTAAGAGGCTGTTCATATCTGATTCAACTTTATCCCAGAAAGCAGTTTTAATATCAAGTTAATGGTCTGATTGATTTACTTGTAACTACTTCTGCTTTAAAGATGCCTTTGTTGTACCTATAGGTTTTGGCAGTTGGGCCACTTAAGGCTGAAGTTAAAACTTGATATGCAAAGACCTAATACTATTAGCTTGAAACTAGATCAAGTTAAACACAGTGTACTGTTTACTGTGAAATCCTTTTTAACTAAAAAAAGAGAAATGTTTATCTTAAGCACATGTACAATATATGACACAGGTGCGTGATTTGTAGTTAACTTATTTAAAAACTCCATAAACAAAATAATCCACTCTTTCAAATAACCATTTCCGTAGGCCTCATCAATCAAAATCCAGACAGGTTTATTCAGGTATAACCTAATTGCCAACAAACCTGAAACGCACAAGACAATATGTCTGATACAGCTTAGTCATCAGAGATCACCAGCAAAGTGCCAAAAAAATTCTGGCTGCTGACCTCAATGATGAACACAAGGTCAAATAACTCAACATAAACTTCATTAAGCCTATCCACAATGTTGAGATTTATGCATAAAGCAAGGAAGGTTAATGATCAATAATCTTTCCTCTTTCTTTTTTGAATAGGAAAATGAACTACATTCAACAGAGTCTACTTGATGCTATGTCAGTGTTATTGTCTGTACCTCTGATTTTAAGTTCCACTAGGCAAGCCTCTCCCACCCCCACCCCCCTTTGTATTCTGAACAGTCATCTACAATTCTCTCAGTTGCATAGGAGACTGGTTTAAATGATCCCACTTATGATTCAAGTCTGTTGCTGCAGATAAATCTAATATATTCCTTTTTAGTTGGGTTTTACAATTGTCTTTTTGTAATGTCAGATAAATAGTTAATGTTATTTAATAAATTGGCGTATTGAACGAGTATATTTATGTTAGTGCATATGCATGGATATAAATACGGCTGTGAGAATAACCAGATTTTCAAGAAAAAAATACGAAACACTTTCACAAATACTAACAATTTAAAACAAACTAAATACTTACCAGCAACAATGGGCTTTGCTGCTACCTCATACACAGACTCTTGTGTAATATTTGGTTTTAACACCTTATCAAACATAAACAACTTGCCCTAAAATGAAAACATGGCCATCATGAAAATGCAGCAGCCCTAGGCAGTGGCATCTCAAATTAATTAAAAAGTTGAGTAAAGATACATTTGGATCATTCTGGTGAGAAAAATTATCTTTACATAATGCTGGATAATTTTACAAAAATAAAAAATTAACCAGTCTGCAGAGAAATTTTGTGAAAAATAGTCTTAAAGTTTAATTTATATGATTTTTTCATCAAATTTGAAGATGCTCAGCATTTGGCTACATTTTACTGATGTCTTGTTATTGGATTAATGTTACGTAAAATATTTGCCAACAGCNCTTATTTTTTTTCCAAAAAAATTTTTATACACCGAGAAAGTAAAATAATCAAATATTCATATTTTGATTTGATTTTAAAAATATCTACACAGACAGAGCAGAATTTTAGTGTTGAAGTTGAAAGTTAAAATTCCATGTCCATTTCACGTCCTTCCGAGATGCTAACTATTTATTATAATTTTTTCGTAACTTTAATTTTTTTAAACCTAATTTTTTGCCTAATTATAACTTACATATAGAAGAATAAACATACAAAAAATGGACCTTGTAACTTTTTTACTTTTGAAAATATTTTCATTTGAAGTGTCAAATGTCCTTCCATAACAGCAAAAAAATACCACGGAATGGCCCTTATACCAATTTTGAAAGCTGAACAAACGCAAACGAATTTTATGATAGAAAAAATCCGCCAGTAGATATGTATCATTCTATGTAACTTAATTATGAAAAGGGGAAAAAAGACAACTGTCTGATGTAAAGCTGCCACAAATTAAAGTTGATCTATGGAAAATGTGTCCTGCCAACAGCATAAACATTACTTTCTGATTCATTTCTGCAGTGATTATCAATGCCCATTTGTTCGTAACATCTCAGTCAGATTCTCTAGGGAACAGTATCGATTGCGCATTATTATAAACGCGTACTTATGTATGATGAGAAAGAGAGATACTTACGCCCAACGTGACCGAGTCATCAGACGGAAATTTTGCGATGAATTTGCTCCCAGCCCTCTCTTCTATCTCATTCAAGGGCCGAATACGGCATATAACCTTGATGTTGCACTCGTCTGCCATTTTAGCAGTCCTTGGCAAAAAATAAATAAATTATGAAATGATATGTGAATTATTAAAATGCTGTCAGCGCTGGTTTTCGATCACTTGAATCTGCTCTCCGTCATCGCAAATATCCGACCGGTAAAATGTTTCCTTTTTCGGTGTTCCTCCTGTAGTATTCTACCGGTAAAGTATCCTTCTGGTGGCAAGAAAAGAGCTTTGCTTGCCTTGTGTTAATGGAAGCAGTGGTTTTCACTCAGAGTCCTGAGTAAAATCTACAATAATCCACAGTTATAAGGTCTACTGTGAACCACTGACTTCCATATTTACTCTAAAGTGGGGCATGCTGGGAAAAATGACGTCATGTCTGCATACTATTAACCTTTTCGTTTGCTATTTCAGATAGTTTACTCGTCTTTACTCAAATTATACTCCCTTGATTCGATTATTTTTATTAGTCAACGTCTAGATTTTGATGAAATCAAATCCTTTATCAAAGAGGTGTAAAATATCACGTGATTAGCCAGACATCACATGACTGTGTAGTTCAAAATGGCGGCGGTAGATTCGTGTTTTCATCTTGTCGGATTTCTTTACGTTTTAATATTAACATTTTCTATGCAGCAGGGTGTGAGTATATCCCAAACGAATAACTTAACATTTTTAATAGATTATTGATTTTTTTATTCCTTGCCTGGGGTCAATTGCATTTTGAATGCAACAACAACAGAGCATCGAAGGGTTGGCTGTTGATTAAAGCACCGAGCGGGCACTGACACTGGGACAGTGACAGTGGTGCAGGATACTTGCATTGTTCCCAATTAAACGATGAACATAGCTGTTGGCATCTGCTGCCATTAGCTACGATTATCTGCCCTGAAACAAATAATGAAGAATGGGCATATTTGGTCTCGAGTAAGATCGAAGGAGTTGCTGGTTAAGCCTTGTATTTATTTGTTTATTTACATTAATATTATGATTATTACCGGCGTTTTCAGTCTCCAACTTTTAGCCGTCTGTATGGTTGAGTTTCAATTCTCTCCAAATGGTTGATGCCCAGAAATGCTTGAGTCATGAGAGTAGCAAGAAACTCTGTAGAGCTTGGGGGAGTGGCAATGTTTGCTTAACATACTGTACATGTAGGTGCAAGCTGTAAAGCATGTTTATAAATGAAATTTTAATGTTTTTTTACTTCATGCAGTTATCAATTCATAAACCCATTCACCTATTGGTATGTATCTATTTGACACCAGGTAGCTGCAGCAAGAAGTTTTACCATAGACTATGACAAGAACACATTCCTCAAGGATGGACAGCCATTTCAATATGTATCAGGCAGTATTCACTATAGCCGTGTACCTTACTACTACTGGCAGGACAGACTACAGAAGATGTATGCAGGGGGACTTAATGCCATTCAGACGTAAGAATATAATATACCTGTACTTTATTTATTTATTTATTCATTCATTCATTTATTTATTTAGATTTTTCTTGGTCATTGATTGTGTTGACCATAGCACCTGCTTTCTTTTCTCTCTCTCTCTCTCTCTCTCTCTGTCTCTCTCTCTCTATATTGTTACCCCATTTTTTGATAAAATTTTGATAAAACTAGAATTTAACAACTGCAGCTGAAAATGCAGCAGCATGAAATCTAGTTAAGAGCAATCATGTGATATCTCTAAGCCTCTTATGCAAAGATAACTACATGCATTATGGTTGTAAATATTGTTAAAATGGTATGAAGGAGATTCTTGTTGCATTTATTAAGAAAGTTAGGCCATAAACAAGTTCATAAGTTGATCAATGTGACAAATAATTAATTTCACGGTACTAGTATTTCTTATAGTATGTATTCATAATCTTTGGTCACTTGCTAAAATAAATAGCATATTCTATTAATTTTTTTCTTTTAATGGCAGATGCACTCAGTGGTTTTAAATATTTTTTTTTAAATAATTTTTCAGCTATGTCACCTGGAACACACATAACCAAGAACCTGGTGTGTTTGACTTCACTGGTCAGAATGACATAGAGCACTTCCTCAAACTGGCCAATGATGTGGGTCTGGCAGTAATACTCAGGCTTGGACCTTATGTGTGCGGGGAATGGGAATACGTGAGTATGTCTATGATCCAAGCTGTTTTTTTATGGGATTTAAACTGCAATCTTGTTTGGTTTTATGGCATATGTTTTATGTTGAATATGGAATTTGTATTTGATTTAACTGGAAAAGTCTACCAAAGAAGTGATGTCAGCAAACTGAGGATTGGACCTTCTGTTAAGGAGGAATTTATGCAAGCTGCATTCTTACAGAATAGTAAAATATACTTACCTAACACATTTATAATAAACAAATATCACCAGAGAAACAAATAATTTTATATGGATTCTGTTTAGTCCCTCCATTGATCTTTTGTTGGTAGTATATACATAAAGTTACAAATTCATGTTAATGAAGTCATCTGTTGTGAACTCTAACAATGACTTTTTCATTGGTTCGATAAATCAGTGCTGAAGTGCTGACTGTTTCTCTTTAATTGTGTATTTCATTTTCAAATTTGTCAGGGTGGTTTTCCAGCATGGATCATCAGGAAGAATGCCTCCATTATAACAAGAAGTAGTGACCCTGGTAAGCAGATTACTCTAATGAGTTTGTGAAATAGTGTATAAAGAGTGCTACCAAATAAAGCTGATTTTAGAGTATATTCATTCATCTCACCTTTTTGCTTTCTCTTACATTTTTCATAGCACAGTTAAAAGTTTCTGATTTTTTAATGCATGAATGATGTATAATGGAAGTGCTTTGAATCAGTTAAAGAACAAATGAATTAAACTGTTTGTGTGTTAAATAATTTAATGGCAATGCCTTAAACTTTAAACAAACTGTTTAATTTTCACTAAAATATTGCAGTGGTCACCACACTTTGCATTAATCTTAGAGTGCATTCCCATAGATTTAGATCGAACGATCTAGATTGACCTAACTCCCTGGGGGTTCATGCTAAATTGCTGTCAGCTGAGTGCGCACGGTAGTTAATTACCCCCTTACAGCTTTTAGTAGGTGGGAAAGACGCTTACCAGTAAGCCTGCTAAGCTGACGGTAATCTAGTGAGACTCCCTACAGGGATAGATCGATCTAAAATCTGTGGGAACGGGGTCTTACTTATCTTTACAATACCCAGGTTTTATAGCCCCTGTTGACCAGTGGCTGAGTGTTTTATTGCCCAGAATTAAACCACTGCTGTATGTTAATGGTGGACCAATCATCATGGTTCAGGTGGGTCATGTGACACTGAGGCCGTGTTCACACCAGCACAAAGTTAGATCAATATTAAATTTATTTATTTATTACCAGACAACCAGATCATAAAGATACACCCTTCGAGTTCAGGCTTTTAATGTTTAAATGTCTGTTAAAGCAAGTACGTATTACAGTCAAGTTAACTTAATGCATTCTAGATTAAAGCAATGTCATTGGTAATGCTCAGTGACTGATGTTCAAATACATGTACATGACGAAGTCAGCATAAAATTGGTTCAAGTAAGCTGTGCATAATTATGGTTTGAGATTTAATTTTAATTACTTTTTTTGGTCATATACATCATGATGTTATGCAAAAGAGGCATAATGTTGTGTCACTAAAAATAAGTTACTAGTATAGTAGCAAATTATGATAGTAGTCCTATAAATCAGTTTACAGTCACATGTGGCCTGGAGATGTCCATATGACCTCTTATAAGTGCTATAATTTTTGCCAATAATGTCATCTATTATTAACAGCGTGAACCTTCACAATTAGGTTGAGAATGAATATGGCAGCTATTTTGCCTGTGATTACGACTACCTGAGATATTTGCGTGAAAAAGTGCTCAAGTATCTTGGGAATGATGTGGTGCTATTCACAACGGATGGAGATGGTGAGGGTTATCTCAAGTGTGGGACTTTGGAGAGTCTCTATTCCACTGTGGACTTTGGACCAGGTGAATTAAGGTTTATTAATTGATTCTTGGAAACTAAATGATGAATTCAATGGTTCTTATGATTAGATCAAATTATACATATTTTTGTCTCAGTATGTGGATTTTCAAATTTAACCATACTGTTTTACAGAGCATTTTTATTTATCTTATAAAAAAGATTCAGATTTTTTTCTGACAGATTATTAAATTTATTAGTTAAAAAAATTTAAGGAATTCACATTTTAATTATATAAACCTCTTGAGTGATTTTAAAGAAACTAAGTGTCCTGTATTTTAATCAGACACAGTGTATATTTAAGATAAAGCACATACGAAATTCAGTGTAAGAATGAGATAGCTACTCAATTAGAAAAAAGTATTCTGCTGTTGAATGCAACAGATTATAATAAGCTTAAATTACCAGAAGCATTGTGCATTAGTTAAAAAGTACTTTAAGTGTTTTTTCAAGAAAAATCATTATTCTTAAAAAATTGTTGAGTGATATTCAAATCTTTAACAAGTCTTAGTTGCATATTTTAATTGTTTTATTTTACCCAGGGTTTAATGTTTCCAATGTGTTTGCGCCCATGCGAAAGTGGGAACCGAAAGGACCTTTGGTGAGTTAATTTACAAATACTACACGTACCACCTGTATTTTAACTTCTCCTAACATAAGGTTAAATATTGATTTTAAGTAATGCAGGGGAATTTAAGGTACTACACCATTTTGTTTCATTATAAGGACCCTCCGCACTCACATATACCTGCCACCACCGTGTGTTTAAATGTGAAATATTTACTTAACCAACTGATAACTATTCACTTTAGTAATTTGAATGTAATATATCTTCTTTTCTCATGGATTTATTTTTAATCTTCCCCTTTGGCACTATTTAATTGTAAAAAGGGAACTGTTACAGGAAATAACTCCTTTTAAAAGTTTATCAAATGATTATTTGTGCTACTATTACAGTTACTTCTGTTTTCAGGTATGTTTTTATTCACAATTCACTTTTTTATGTAATTTCTGAACATTTAGCAATTTAGTAGGATGATGGCTAGGGCTATCAACATTGATAGACACCCTCTGCTACAGGCATTTTTCATTCACAATCTGTGTTTTCCAGGTAAATTCAGAAACATACTGGCCAGATGGATACCTAGGGCTAGCCACACTGCTGTTCACTCTATACTAGATATATGCTCTTCAATCTGTACTTTTTTCCAGGTGAATTCCGAGTACTACACAGGCTGGCTGGACCACTGGGGTTCCCCACACTCACACACCCCTTCTGCCACAGTGACCCAGTATCTGGATGACTTGCTGGGGTATGGGGCCAACGTGAACATGTAAGTAGGACCTACATAGGGGTGGAATGTTATAGGGGTACGGTATTTTTCTTTGTTTAGAATGTGGGTTTTGGTACAGAAAGATCCAAAATTAAGGAAGTCTAGAGATGGGGCGGTGTTGTTCTCCTTTGTTTTTATTATTTTTTTAAAATATTGATTTATTTATTTAGTTTTGGTTCTCTCATCTCATACCTCCATAAACCAAGTCATAATTATGAAATAAGTTTAACTGATGTTTTTACTTAACAAACAAAATGAGAAAATTACCTAAACATACTGATAATAATTATCTGACTTAACCAGTATGAATTTTCAAATGAGTATGATTACAACAGACTAGTAAAGTCTTGTGTTTTTGTCCAGGTACATGTATGAAGGTGGCACAAACTTTGGTTTTATGAATGGTAAGCCTTTTGATTTACATAATTACCTCCACCAAGAAGGTTGTTTCCACCCCTGTTTGTCTGTCTGTCTGTCTGTCTGTCTGTTTGTTTGTCATCAACAGAACTCGAAAAGTTATGGACCAATTTTGATGAAATTTTCAGGGTAGGTCGGAAATGGGTTAAGTGATTAGTTTTTAGAAGTGATTAGTTTTTGGTGGTGATCCGGATCAATAATCAATCAATAATCAATAATAACCAAAAATCGCTGCCTTGGCGGAGGTCTGTGCTCTTGGAGTGCTTTTCTAGTCTTTAATATAGAATGCTTACATAGTTGTCAAGGTTGACTGACTTCCATATTAGGTGACATGCTTAAAAGTTAGAGTTAATATATTTAACCCAATATACATAATAACAGAAAACACATTTTAAAGAAAATAGTCAAGATAGTGCTTTATCATTCATTTTTTCAGGTGTAAATTACCCAAGCTTTTCCCCAGTACCTACAAGTTACGACTATGATTCCCCTCTGACTGAGGCAGGTGACATTACAGAGAAATACATGGACATCAGGGCTGTTATTGCTAAGGTAGTCTATACTTTGCCATGTCCCCCATTCTGTCTTATTTAGACCAGAAATTGAGCATTTAATTTACTGACTTGATTGTTTGTGTTAGTCAGCATTTCACTTCTTGTAAAAGCAGTGTGGTAAAGCTTTGAGTAAAGCATTTCAAAGCAATATTGTTTTGCTACTAATATACTTGCATTTATAAAACGGCAATACCATTACAATTGTCAGAATGTTTATTAAAGAAACAAACAGAATTAAGAATGGTTACTGTTTATCTTAAGTAGGGTTAAAAGTGTAGGTTTAAGTCTACTGAGTATTTTGTAATTTGTTTTACATTTGTGGTGACACCTTAACATATAAATAGAAATATGTACAAAGTGACAACATTTTATTTATTTATTTATTTATTTATTTATTTTTGACAAGAAAATGAACAAATTTTCCTATCCATTGCTGGATATAAGGTCTAACTCGTATGTTACAGCATATGAAGGTACCCCAAGTCCCCATCCCCCCTAACACACCTAAGTATGCCTATGGAAGAGTGAACATGATGCTGGTAAGACCAGAAATTGCCATAATAATTGAAGCCAGAAAAGTCTAATAAAATATCAGTTTAAATAGTCTACAGTTACCATTTATGTCTATGACAATGACAGACAGGTTGTTAAATGTCAGTGCATTTCTTACATGGAATTTGATCTTCAAAAGTATCTTTTAAATTGGAGAAACCTGTCAATTTTTTCTTTTGTTTATTCAAGTTTTGTGCTTCTGTAACTTCTGTTTTCAGATGTCCACTGTTCCTAATCTATTGGACAAGCTGACCCACCATGGCCCTTTTGTCACTAGGTACCCTCTTACCATGGAACAAGTCTACCAGGTGGGTCACTCATCACCTCTTTGATAACTAATTGGTGTTCTTTAATTCTTAGATGATTTAATTTAAGTAACACTGCCGAGTGATTTTATCATAGCTATGTCTTAAGATATTAGTTTCTAATTCAACAACTCGGGGCTTGACACTTACTTTTTTTTTTCTCTTTTTTCTCCAATGGCCTTCAGGCCAGTCAGGTCTGGCAAATATTACAAGTCTTAGAGTTACTTTGTGCATTAAATTGTATTTGCCCTTCAGGACAGTAACCACTGTAATTCACTGGCCTAAGATTGGTTTTCAGTGGTCCTGGGTTAGCGGGCCACCTATTATGTCGAGCCCTGCAACTTACTGTGGGTGTTTAAGAGTAATGATGGTACTATACCAGAACTATTGTTTTATATACAAACAAACATGGTTCTTTTCCAGAACTATGGTTTCATATACTATCGTCATGTGGTGAAGTTAGACTGGCACAATGCAGTGCTGGATGTCTCTGCAGTACGAGACAGGGGATATGTTTTGATTAACAGTGTAAGTTATTAATGATTTTCGAGTTTTCTGTATGATTATTGTAAAGAAGAGATGAGAACTATATTGAAAAAATCATAAAAGAGAAAATATAGTGAAAAAAGGGGGATTTATTTTTTTACTAATCTTTATTTCAAAACCGCTTGTTTTAGTACAGCTTCAGACTAAACAATACCACATCAAACCTAATCAGCATTTTATTCAGAAAACAAATATTCTTGAGACCAAGATCGTATATATATCAGCTATTCTTAAACTTTTTCTAAATCACAGTGACCAGGTACTATATAAGTAACAAATATTGCTATTATAAGTGTTCTTCTTAGATATGTGGTATTAAGATAATAATAATGACAGTTTAATGTCCCAGGTACCTCAAGGTGTGGTCATCAGGGAGTCCAGCCAGACTAAACTGACCATCACAGCCCTGACTGGTCAGTATTTGGACATCCTGGTGGAGAACCAGGGGAGGATTAACTATGGGTCAGGCATCAACAATAACACTAAGGTACAAGATGGAGGATTAAAAAACATAGAATTTGGGGGGAAATCTGTAAATTTTTACTTTATTTGGGAACAGCTGGACATTAACAGTAACAATAAGTTACCAAAGTGAGATTACACCCCCCCCCCAAAAAAAAAATAAAAATAAAAAACTGCAATTTAAGGAACATTGTAATACAAAAATTACTCTGAGGTAACAAATTAGAGAGTTTGTAAGTATTGGCAATTTTCAAAGTTTTACAGTATTTTGAATTTGTACTATTTAATTGGGTTTAAGAAAACTTTTATCTTATTGATGTTATTCAATAACATGTTTAAGTTACATTAAACTATTTTTAATCCAGATATTGTTAGAAACTACATAACATTAATCCTGCAGATTTCAATATAAGTTGCACTATACAGTGAAATCTCATTTTGTTCATTTGAAAATTCAAGTGAAAGTGATTGATTCAGAAGTTCAGTATGTATTTTTCGGTTTGATAATGTGTACAGGTTGTTGAATTTAAACCAATATAACAGTTGTTCATGTTCAATTTCAGGGTCTGATTGCTAATGTTACTATAAATGGACTCATCCTGAAAGATTGGTTTATATATCCACTGAATGTGTCAGAAAAGGTGCTTAATAACCTGGACTCAGCAGTCCAGTCCAAACAAAGGTAGTGCATAGAAATCTTTCCGTTGATCTATCTCAAGGTCGTCAAACTTTTGATTGATAGTGATAGGGATCGTTTATTGTCCGAGTAGAAAAAGCGTCATTTTTAAGTAATTCATTGACAGGTACACCTCATCTTTTAATTTTCTTTGAACTTCCTTTAAAGTATGAAATGTGAACATTTCCATATTATAAAAGTTACTAGTCTTATAGACTAAGTACTGTAGCAAAACTTTGTTAACTCTGCAAATTCCTAGTCATTAAAAAAGATTAAAAGTTTTTTTTTAATGAGAGGAGATTGGGATTCTATAATGGTTAAATATGATAAAGATGTAATTGTGATTGTAGTGATCTTTATTTATTTATTTATTTATTTACTTATTTATTTATTTATTTATTATCAGTTCTCCTCCCAAGTATTCTGGTGTCAGCCAGTACATTACTCCTTCCTTATTTGTGGGCCAGATCCAGATGCCCAACAAAACTGGGTTCCCACAGGATACATACCTCAGGACTGATGGCTGGTTTAAAGTAAGTGAAATAACTTCAGTTGTATAGTCAAGCCAATCTCCAGTCACTTTACTTTCTGACAGACATGAGAGGCTGTTTTGTTTGTAGCTGTTACATAAACAATTGAAGGCCCTTCCTTCAACTAATTTCACTATGTAAAACAAATAGAAGGGTTTCTGGCAGAGAGTGTCTTCAGACTAATAAGTCTCTCAGACTGCCAGTTAGCAATCTCATTGCTGTCTTGACGCATTCTCATGATGAAACTTTTTTTCTTTCAGGGCCAGGCCTATGTCAATGGATTTAACCTGGGGCGGTACTGGCCCAGTGCAGGCCCCCAGCTGACTCTCTATGTCCCCAAGGGGGCCCTCAGGCCCTACCCCGCCACTAACACACTGGTGCTCCTAGAGCTGGAATATGCTCCATGTAGCCAGACACGAAATAAGATAGAGGTGGACTACTGCTTTGTGGAGTTTGTGACCACACCTGTTATCAATGCCACTACTGTTAGTCTGGAGAGGAGGGAGGAATGGAATAGGGCTGGGGGATTTAATTGGCATGATCAGCATTAAAAGGGGGGGTGGTGGGCAATTGTGATTTTATATATTCGGGTACAGGTGCTACCAGTTGAATTGACTTATCTTTTTAAAAAAATTATTAGTGGTGTTTTTTTATAGATTCAGAGTTAGGGACAACGATGGTGAAATGTCTGGCAATATATCTAACTTTTTTTGATGTGATTTTTTTATAAATTTTATGAATTGCTGTTCACATCTCTATTTCTTATACTTCCACATAGTTATGTATTTATGTGCAATTTGATTGTTATCTCATGCAGCTGAATGACATTCTATGTGATTGGTTTGAAAATTTTGGAAATTGATTAAACAGCTTCATATCAAATGTGAGATTATCTGCACCATCGATAACACACATATGCGCACACACACACACACACACACATTGATATCTAGATAAATTTACATTATCCATGCATCACATTTATATATCTTTTAACATATATTTTTTTCTGTTAGGAAATTTCATACAGATCATTATATAATAGCATTCTTAAATATTTTCATAGTTGTCTTTTCAAATTACATATCATCTTTATGCCTGTCTTAAGCTGCTCTGACTATATGAAATCCAGAATCATTTGAATTCAATCCCAAAAGTATGAAGGCAGTAGTAGTAGTTGTAATTGATAGAATTTCCCAGATGAAATTATTGTTAAAATGTGCATTCACTTCATCAAACATTCCAATTGATTATTAAATGTTTCTCTAGCGAAGTTGCATATTAGGTTTCAGATATTGTGACTGATTAGGACTATAGTGTATGATTGCAATATTTGTTTTGAATGAGATTTAGGTTTAAATATATAAATGTAATAATATATATATATATTGTGAGATCAAGTGAGTGATGAATGATAGCAAGAAAAGTTAATGGCCAGTTAAACACAAGGAAACTTGTTAGTATACATATTTTAAAGAGACTGGTATAAGATAGTTAAGATAGTGATAGGAGTTTCTCAACTGAGAATCTGAAAACACAATCAAAATTTGTTTCTCCAGAGTGCTAGTCCATCAAACAGTATGTCAACAAAACATTTTATACAGAAAAGTGTTCATTTTATGCAGAAAAGTTCTTTGTTGCTCTGGGTCAAACCCACATGTAATGTGATATGCCTACGAAGTCTTCTTTATATTTTTGAATACCTCATTGTTATGTCCGTATGAGTTTGTCTCATCTGTGTTCTTTGAGAAAACGTGCTGGCACTGTATTGTTTTGTGATATTGTATTTGTTACTTCATATTACAACAAGGTCCTTTGGAATCCTCTTGGGGTTCTCATTAGTTGAGGGATGTTCTAGTTGTGGACAATGTTTGTGTACATTACTGGATTTACAAAGGTACTGCTTGTTTGCTTGCTTATTTCATTTTGACAAGTCCAAGAGTGCCTCACTCACTTCAAGGAGCCTTCCTGGTTATGTGGAAGGTTACACTTCAAGTCAGTTAAATTATGCTATTTTAATTTTTTACAGCAATAAACATTGATTAATTAGCGACAGAGTAAAATTCTTCTAGAAATGAGTATGTTTACGTCTTTGTGAATAAAAAGTTGTTTACACATAAATAACACATTATCACGTTTCATTTCTCATTTCCGTTTTGTTACAGTGAATTATCACTTCTCGTTATCAAGGCACATTTGGCTGTACTTACAATATATTAAGCACGCAATTCGGCTCGAATCTGATACTAGCTACACAATTATCAGATTTTGTCAAGAACCAAACCCTACAGACAACCCTTTAACCGTCGGAAACCACATATTCCATTACTCAGTTGTATCTGGTAAAAGTTATATTATAGAATTAACTTGTCAAGGTATGCTTTCGTAACTGTCAATTCACCCAGATTTAATAGCAGTTTCCTCTAGGAGTAATTTTCTTCAATCAACACCTGATGTTGGAATTGATTACCTCCGCTGTTTTGTTTGTCTGTCAGGCATGTCTAGGCTATCTTCATCTTTTGTATCTTTACGCAGCTAAAAATCTTCTTTGAGCGACTTCTGTAGCATGATACAGAAAAACAATCTTGTTTCTTGTCATGAATTCACTATCAGATGTCGTCTGATTGAGTGATGTCATTAATTCTGGACAATTTTTTTTCTGGGGACAACACACCGGGCAGAGGTGTGCAGAAAATTATGCAAAGAAACATCTGCGAAAATCTAATGAAAAGACTATCTGTGGCTCTGGTAGCGAATACGTGTAACTTAATTCAAAAGCATTTTAATTGATTATCTCTGTTGTTTCAGATTGTATTTGAAGAGAAAGGCCTTCAGAAACGATGTCAGTTAGGTTCTCAAAGCATCCAGTAATAAGTGGTTCCTTACAACTAAGAAGCTCATTTTCTGCTCATCTATACCGAACTCCTCGGGAAAACCCGCTAACGTTATTCCGTTCATCATATTTAGTCTAATTGATATTCACGTACCCGTATAGTATTGTTTTGGTCAAAAGAGTGCATGCCTTTCTTTATTCCAAGTGTAACGCTGAATTCCCGCATAAACTTTTCTTTTAGTCTAAACTGGCATCATATGGATAGAAAATGAGATTCCCTTTGTTAATACACTCGACATGCCTGTGCCTATCAAATCATGTACGTATTTGTGTGAAAAAGGCCCATTACACGACAGCATGTATCACAAAACGTGGGAGGTCATTCCCAGCAAGTCTGGCAGCATGTTCGAGTCGATTTCAACAGAGACATAAAGGCACAGTTGCTCCCTTTTCAATTGCTTCATCTGGCTCATTCAAAATGAAGGGAACAATGGACAGTTCATATTTCAAGTTATTTGATTTCTCACGACAATTAGCCTCTTGAATAAGAATGTCTCTGTATTAAATGACTTCTCGACCCTTAGCCAACAAATTAAGAAGTTTTTTTTATAGTCATCAGGTGCGTCTGTCGTCTCTGTCGACTTCTTCATAATTGCTTACAGGGACCATTTTTCTAAAGCTTTTTTTTTTTTTTTTTTTTTTTTTTTTTGCAAATCTGCATTTAGAGGAAAAACTATTTGATTTAAAGTCTGCAAACTAACAGGACTGATGTATATAACGAAAATAGGCCTGACATATCTTCAGTTAAGTGAATGGCGAATGGTGACAAAACAGTCATACTAGAATATTCAGATTTCTGCAAGAGGTGTGATAAAATGTCAATTCTGCCAATATACTGTGTAGTGTTTGAAGCTCAGTATTTGCATATAAAAAATAAATTTTAGTTAAAGGTTTTTCAAAACGTCAACCTTCTTCTTGTCACCAACCATAGCAATCATGCTGCTTTACGTTTTTTAAGCTAATCCTGCTGACATCTATTGTCGTCTATATGAATGAGTCAGAAGTAGATTACATAATTGTCGATTAAACCCAATAAATATGTTATAGTGACAATAATGAAGGTCTGAAACTTTCGACCGTTTATTCACCGACTCTCTTGTACATGCAAATTCACAAGTATTTACACTCTATTTCTCCATACTGATCATGAATTCACTTGTTTTATTTCTATAGTCCTTGCGTGATTACAAGGAATTCTTCATTCTCACCATGCAACATTTCCTCATTACGTAATTTATTAGAGACTTGTTTTCAATTAAAATATTGTTTGAATTACTCATGCTTGATCCATATCCATCCTTAGTTTGCATGTGTTAAACGCGTGTCAGGAACTTGCAAATCTATTGAGAAATTAACAAATTAAATCGAACTATATGCAACTTTGACAAGTTCCATCTTTTTCTACCACGAAATCAATTTCTACACTTGTTGACCTTAAAGAAATTTAACTAACGCTCAATTACTCCCTATTCTTTTACTCATCTGATGCCATTTTAATAATCATCTGTATTTGGTGAAAGCGTAAGCCATTTACATGTACTTTACAATAAATATATAACATGTAGTCCGTAGAATGTTTTGTGCGGAATTTTATTGACCAGTATATGCTAGCATTTTACTATGTTAAATAGCTTCTAACTTCTTAAATAGCATTACAAAACTTGCGAAGTGCAGTTTTACCTGTAAGTTGCTGACTTTTATCGCACATGTCCATAAAAACGGAGATGAAATATCAGGCGGAACACATGGTAGGAGTTTAATTCCAAACTGGGCATCCACAACCTTAACTAGAAAGTTATTTCTGTGCTTTTTTTTCATTTTTGAAACCCAAGCAAACGCTTTAATCTTTGTCGGAATAATGAACCGCATAGTCCGTAAACGAAAAAATTAACTGACGAGTTCAGACTTGCTAGAAGAAACCCAGTGGGTGTTGTCCAGCTTTCAATGACTGCAATGATCTCAAACTGTCCGGCCATATGATCCATGACAGCCAAAACAAGGAATATAAGAGTAACAGGTAACACAGCTAATATATAAAATGTCATCAGTAACATTACCGTTTTTATTATCTGCCTGAAATTATCATTTTTTGAATTGTTCATTGTCAGTCGAATTTCAGCTTGCCTCCTCAAGGACTGAATAAGCTTCACGTATAGAAAAAGCATGAACCCATTTGGTAAAATGTTGAAAATGAGAGGAAACGCCTTGCGGTAAACAAGTTCATGGCTGTTGGTCCATTCCTTTAAACGAACATCCAGGCAGAAGTCACCCGAACTGTATCCACAAGGAAGAAATCCAACAATTTCAGTGTCAAAAAACTTCGGAAATTGATACATTGTGATCATGGTTAATAACACGTACGTCCTCCATCTCCATTTTGACACCTTTCGAAACTCAATGCTTTTTACAGGTTTGTCAATTGCGAGATAACGATCGAATGCTACAAAAACTAGCAGAAAAACGGAAGAAAGTCTTGCAATCAGCATGATTGGCCAAATATAAACGGTGATCGGCTGCATTGCGACAAAGTACCAGTCAATCCACCCTGAATAGACATGCAAAGCAGGTAAATGAACGATAAATATCGCCGTGATTAAATATATATTATCCGTGATTGCTATCCAGGACAGTAAATAATCAGCCGATACATTTGCTCTCTCCTTAAAGAATACAAGGAAAGACAGGGTGTTGCAAATCATTCCAATCAGACCAACGGCCAATGATGCGAATCCTAGAACAACGACGGTGTACAAGTTTAAGGCCGTTCGATGATTGGTGGTGCCATTGACTAGCGTACTGTTCAATGAAAATGCCGTGAAATTCAATTCATCTTTATCGTCAATGAAAGTTGCCATTTTGTTTAAATAGGAAATAAGACGTGAAGCAAACCTGTCTTAACAATAATTGTACTTATGAAGCTGAGCCTTTATATCATGCGATTTGCCCACCGTCTTAACCAATCAGAGACCAGAATAGCAGATACTGTCACAGCTACTAGGATTCCGCCTTGCAATTGAACAAAGCACAGTACTTAAAGGGAGAACAACTCTTCGTATGAAATCTATATTTTACAATAAATACATTGTAAACAACTCATAGAAATATAATTTATTCTATTTTACCACAAAAACGGCAGTTATAGCAATAGATCTGAAATCTGTGCTTGCCATCCGACCACATGACCTCAATAGATGGCTATACTCTGTAACACTCTCTTAAGAGATTATTACGTAAATACAAACTTTTCAGAAAAAAAAACAGGGTCTTACTTTGAATGTAGAAATGGATTCATTAACCATTGGTAAATATGGGAAAATTGCCGTTTACCCCAGGTAAATTCATTTTTTTTGGCCAAAATGAACAGCTGTTATCCCCTTAAGTGAAAGAGACTTTCGGAGAAAATGAAAGGAAGAATCCCTGCCTACTACACTTGATAAATGACAGCTTTGTCAACTAGGTGACACAAAATTTACTCGGCCCTTTACGAAACTTGCAATTGATCTCGAAGAAAAGCATAAAACAGTTAAAATATTTTATTTTATTTTATCTGTATTGTTACTGGTCAAACCTTGCTCAATCCGTACGTCAATGCATGGATGGAGCATGTCATTGGAAGTTTAAGTGCTCGATGGTGAGCCGTGCGTGCCTGCTATATCATAGCAATATATATATATATATATATATATATATATATATATATATATATATATATATATATATATATATATTGCTGTCGATTTGGCCGGCTTAAATGTCTGTCACGCCTAGTAAAGCTGTTTGGTTATATATATATATATATACATATGTCATATGTTTAAATGGGGAACTATAGAGTCAATGATCAAATACTAATAGTCCCTCGATATATATATATGTTTTGATTTATTGTCGTGAAATATATGAAATGCTTTTCGACAAGTGGACAAAACGTTGCATTGATACCGTTTAGCCTCTAAATGCACCAGATTGGCAATTTGCTTGTTAATATAAACCAATAAATAAATAAACATATATATATATATATATATATATATATATATATATATATATATATATATATATATATATATATAATGATTGGCCAAGGTTTGAGGGGATATTACAGATTACAGTAATTACAGTGATAAATTTAGGGACGTACGAGAACAAGAAATAAATCAACTATTATATCATTACTGTATCATTAATTCAACATTTAGAAATAATTTCCTGATTGACAATAACAATTTTCAATTATAAGCGATTGCATAGAGAATTGAGAATCACCGGCACAACCCGGATTTTTCTAAAAAACACCGATCATAAAAGTCCTTGAGCTCTTAGACTGGGTTCCCATACATAGATCGATCCATCTGGATCGATCTTACTCCCTGGGGAGTCTCACTAAATTGCTGTCAACTAACCGGCTTAAATGTCTGCCACGCCTACCGCATCAGCTAGGGGGTAAAGATAATTACCCCCTAACAGCTTTTCTCGGCGTGACAGACATTTAAGCCGGCCAAGTTGACAGCAATTTAGTGAGACTCCCCAGGGAGATAGATCGATCCAAATATCTGTTGGAATGGTCCCTTAGTCGCTTCATTAAATGCTCCTGGCTCAGAGCTGTCACTGACAAGTCAGGTTGATCTGAGGCACTGTGAGGTTTGTACTCGAAGCTACAAGTACAGGGTATGTATTATATAACAAAGGGTAGAAGTGTGTGCGTATTATGAGAACCCAATGGGGTCCATGTATGAGGAGGGGGTTGATTTTTATTTCGTTGAGAAATGAAGAATTGACCGTTTTAAACTGTGCATATGTAGTTTGTGGTGTGTTTGCATTAGGGTCAGAATATTTTTAGATCAAGTTTGTGAATATTGTATCACGTTAAAGTCAAGGGTCAGAAAAGACATGATCTTGCTAAACTTATTCTCTTCTTTTTGGATACAAAATGGAAAACAAGATAATTACATTCGGTCGATTTTACATCAATCTTATTCATTCTGCAAATGTCTCACGGTTTTGAATTGAAATAAGGACAATTTGGGGATTTATGATTATAAGATAGCATTGGAATGAGCACATGCTTGGTTTTGAGGAAAACAAAAATTAAAATGTAAATAAACTCAATCACCTGAGGCAATTCTTCTATTGCAGACTACTATAAAATGAGCTCAAGCGCCGTGTTAGTTGTACTGCTGGTGGCAATGCTGGAAGTGTGTGCGTGCTCTGGTATGTACTACAAGGTTTTGTCACTTTAAATTTTGTAAATTATTAAAACTCTGTTTTAAATAATTGCAATTTTAGTTTAGTAACAATTTTCATGCAAAGGGGACAACTGTAATGGTGACAGAAGAGCAGCTGAAACTGCAGCACTGAAGCATTGGTAACTAAGGCCCTATCGGCTATAATAGATTGTAAACTAACATGTACAGCAGTTTCTTGTTTATGTACTAAAATTCATTCTGAAATAATATTATGCAGGTTTAGTTGATTCCAATCTCCTTTTCCTCTGATACTAGATTTACAGAGATGCACTGCAGCCTACAAACTGGTAGCGTTCTCGGCGGGGAGATCAAACGATCTTGACCAGACGGGGAAAGGCAACGCTGTGGTTGTCTACGACACCGTCTTTCTGAACGATGGCAACGGTTATAATAAAGACACGGGGAAATTCACTTCACCGACCTCAGGGGTCTACGTCTTCCATTACCATAGTCTCAGCCACTACAACAAGCCCATATTTGTCAGATTGAACCACAATGGCCAAATAAAGAATACTGGGTACGGTAAACCTTCTACGGGACATGCGACAGGCAGTAATACTATTGCTTTGCGGCTGGCAGAGGGAGACGAGGTGTGGATTGATTTAGTTGGGGGCCACGCCCTTCACAACCATCCTGGGGAGTTCCACAGCACGTTCACCGGTTACCAGCTCTATCCAGACAGCAGCAGCATTAACACCGTGGCTTTCCGTTGACGCCCTGGCATTTTGTTGGAAGAGTCGGAGGTATTCCTCTTCGATATTGTTAACATCAAATATATGATACACGCTGTTTTGCTAACATACATGGTTTTAACAATTGAACAATCTTTGTAATTTTGGTAGTAATGAGCTACATGTAGATTTACTTCCTTGATACTCCGGAAAATAAATTCAGACACTTTAATTTAGATACATTTCGTTGCAGTTGTTGTCATATGTTTAAATGGGGAACTATAGAGTCAATGATCAAATACTAATAGTCCCTCGATATATATGTTTTGATTTATTGTCGTGAAATATATGAAATGCTTTTCGACAAGTGGACAAAACGTTGCATTGATACCGTTTAGCCTCTAAATGCACCAGATTGGCAATTTGCTTGTTAATATAAACCAATAAATAAATAAATAAATAAATAAATAAATAAATTAATGTTCTTGTCAAATATACTGAAAGGCGGCGCTACAGAAATAATTCAAAGAAGCAATATTAATTATCTGAATAATATTTTTTAGGTTGGTTTATTGCTTCGATATACTTCCAACAAACGTAGTATCATAACATGGCGTTTCCGAAAAAAAACATCAGACGAGAACGGTTATGTGCAGAATCATAAAGGGTCCTGTAACAGTGACACAACACACACACATACACACACACACAGGAACACCCGGCACACCGCTGCTGGAAACTAAAATTGATAATTGATAATTTTGATATCAACCTGACTGTGATGTATATAGATAACTTTATCAAACAATACATCACTAAGTTATTAGCTTGCGCCATGGCCTTGGTATATCATTATAGGGTTGGGGCGTTCTGGCTATGTCCTCATTATTGACAAAATAAACTGATTGTAGACAAATTTGAAGCAGTATAGATAACCTATAAAATGATATATAAAGCGTACGCAACGGTTTTGGCAGCACTACAGCGGGGCAGCCGGCATGTAGGCGCGGGGCACTGTGCCCACTCTGGGCGCTAATCTACTATGGTAATGGCTTCGAAAGAGATGTACAACGTCTTCAGTGAGAACTTTTTAACATGTCATGTGTGTCTTGGAGAATATAAAGACCCGAGAGTGCTTCCCTGTTACCACACGTTCTGCCTGGAATGCATTGCTGACCATGCAGCCAAGAATGGTGTCCAGAACAAGTTCTCCTGTCCCTTGTGTCGCCAAGAGGCCCCCGTACCACCAGGTGGGTTAGCAACTCTCGTGAAAAACTTCTTCCTTACAAAAGTAACAGACTTCATGAAAGATCTGAAAACCCCAGAGGGGAGACTTTGTGAGTATTGTAAGCATAAAGAGGCCATTTTGCTGTGCCAAGGTTGTCCCAAAACTAACCAATTGTGCGCTACATGCCGTGAATTGCATGACAGCATTCCGGCATTAAATGGACATCACTTTGTACCTTTATCACAATTCGATTTCTCAGTTAACCCATCTAACATCCGTGAACAATTACGTCACGTATTAGATAAAGCTCAATACTGCGACAAACACGACGGCGAGTTGCTAACATTATATTGTGAAGAGGATGACAACGTGGCATGCAGAGATTGTATTTTAGAAACTCACAGTAAACATGACTTTAAAAAAATTGGAGATGTGGTGAAGGGTCAACGGGAGTTAATACAAGAAAAACTGAGATGTCTCCCAAGTGCAAAGCCGTCTCATTATGAAATTGCAGAGAAAGCCATTGTACGAACGGAAGAGAGGCTGACAGAAAATCAGTCAAACGTACTTAGTTTGGTGGATTCTCAAAAATTAGCTATGACGAAGGAGATAATGGAAAACAGTGAAACCATTGAAAGAGAACTAAGCACTTATTACCAACAAGTAGAGAAAGACGTACGTCGACAGATCGACGAGTATTTAACAAGTATGAAACACCATTTGGAAACGTACCAAACAAAAGTACTGTCAGATTATATCGAAATGCAGAAAGTTATAGATGACAAAAGCAACGAAATAACGGCCGAAGTTATGGCACTCACCTCCACGCAGTTGAAGACTTTAGAAGCTGAAAAGGACAAGCAAGAAATTGACAAGATTTCCATCCAGAGCATTCGTGAATTCGCCCAGCAGCTCACAACCAACGGATCTGCCATCGAGGTCATGACTCACTCTAAAAAACTCCAAGCTAGAATCCAGGAGTTGCAGACAGTAGAACCAGTCTTTGATACCAAGATCACCGACGTAACATTAACACCAGGTCTAACAGAAATGGACCGTGTGCTACAGTTTCCTAAAATCCCTGAACCAAAACCGCTGTCCATCAAAACAGGGTCCATCACGGCCAAAACATACCGCGATCCCTTGGATGCATGTTTTGGAAGTTTGAAACAAGAGGGAGCGCACTGTCCCGAGCTGATGTGTTTTCAGAAGGCAACATGGTTTGGCACTCCAGAGCGGAAATTTTGTTTTAATATTAAGGGCTGGCCACTGTGGGACATCCAGTGTACAGATGACGGGTGTATTTTAGTTGGACATAGTGATGCAGTGTCAGTTTTCTCCAGTGCAGGTAAATGTAAGCGTAAAATCAGTATAGAGGGAGGCGGAAGGCGTATCGCTATAATCAGTAACGATACATTCGTGGTCATATGCCGTGATGAATGCTGTAGACTGTATTCAACATCAGGCCATGTTACCCGGTGTTTTGGTCAGGGTGATATGTCTTACCCCTGGGGAGTCACTGTGGACCGTACAGAGGGTAAGGTGTACGTGTGTGATTGTGGTGCACAGTGCATCTGTGTGTACGACATGACATCTTTTCATCTTGTTAACAGAATTGCTATCCCAATGTGCAGAAAAGACACACTGCGCTGTGCATACCACCACGGCATCAATGCAATCATAGTCAGCGACCGCTTGGCCCACTGTGTGTATGCAGTGACACCCCAGGGTGACGTCATGTTTCAATACGGAGCACGAGGTCAGAGTGGAAGTGGAGACGGACAACTGAGTTATCCACGAGGAGTGTGCGTAGATAAATTTGGACAAATGTTTATAGCTGACCGTGATAATGACAGGGTGGTTGTCCTTGGTCTAGACGGAACATTTTTACGTAACATTTTGACAAAAAGCGACAACACTGAGCTGCCTTTGTCCGTCTCTATCGCCAGTAACGGGGAGCTTGTTGTTGGATCCGCCAGAGGAAAAGTATCCACGTATAAGTACATCGCTTAGCAATGATATATATATATATATGTATATATCGCTAACGCCTTGTCGCCAGGCGTCATTTGAAGTATCTGGAAGTACTGTACAATGCTTACAATGTAAAACTCCTAATTGCTGCATATAAAGTCACCAAAATTGCTGCAGATATTTAAAATGGCACAAAGAACAATAGGATACCAGGTATTTTGTTAAGATCTTTAAACCGATGTAAGACAAGATGTCTTATTTTCGAAGGTACANCGCCTCCTTAATGTGCGGATCGACCTTTTCCGGGTGTCATTCAAGCGCTATAGGACTCTCAAAAGAATGAGAAAATGACTGTACTTATGGCAAAATGAACCCACAATTTCTGACTTCTGATTGATCAATAAATAACAGTTAAAATGCACCAGAATGCAGTATTATACATACAGTTTTAAAAAATTTTCCACACTGTGGGAGGGGGACACCCCCTACCAAACCTTCCCCCCTCGGGGGCTTCGCCCCTCGTGTCCGCTTACTGCCCCCCCCCCCTGGCATTTTGCTCAGGCTACGGCCCTGCTGCTTTATCTGAAGAAAAATGAAAAATGACCCGATTTTTAAATATAATATTGTGCAAGGTCCATCTTCTGCATTGCATACCTTGGTCTTAATTCAAGCATGGAGGTGTACATGTACTTTCATGGTTCAAGACTTCTGTGTGCGATATTTTGTCTAATTATATAATTGGTATAGAATACGATGGTATTTGCTGTGTGATAAAACTACATACTGACCTCCCTCCTTGATATCTCTTTACTGAGGTCAGCAAAACAACAGATATTGGCCTCGGCTTAAGTCGATACTTGTATTATATTCCGTCGTATCTACTCCAGGCGGAATTTAAGGGTTCATTCCCAAATGAGACTATCGGTCTACGTAGATCGATGCAACTCCGCCGGGACTCTCGCTGAATGCAATCTGTTTAAGAGATTAACCCGCTTCTTCTCGTTTCCAACATACTCACATTGTCATCAGATTTTCTGTATTCTACCCATAGCCGCTCTGATCCTTAAGTTTTAGCACGAAAATATTCAGATGGTGATTTCAATAATCAGCAATAAAAACGCTTTGGTGGCTTTTTAGTTTTGTCGTTATTTATTTATTTATTTATTTATTTATTTATTTATTTATTTAATGTTACCCTTTCACTGTCCCGTTGCAGAATGAACTCGAGTTCGATGACAAAAGTATTTAGATTTAAATATTTTATTCAAATTTGTTCAAGCATAGTATGCATGTGCTGAATAAAATTTAACTAATCTTGTGGCCCTTTTGTTGGTACTATGAAGCACTTAAAAAGATGAATCAGGCAGATGCGTCTTAAAATGCAGAATTTACGTGACTGATTTGTCCCCACTAAAATATATTTCATATATTTTTATTTATCTATTTATTTTACTGGATTAGCTACTGGTATAAAGAAGCAATAAAGAAAGGTGTCTCACATATTCACCAAATGCAAAGAAAGGTTAAGGGAATATGATAAGAGATTAGAATAAACGGTATATCAATAAAATTAAACTCGCAATGTCAATTATTTCATTACCATTTCATATTCTTACTTATGCTGTACTCAAAGGCATGTGAGTTACTGTGCATTGCATATGTACACTCGTTTGTATTATTTTCCTAGCCAATATGAGCAATAGATATTAACAGACGATCATTACAGCACCTGGCGGGAAGTTAAACCTGCACAAACACGTCGACGTAGGATGTTTGACAATGAAAATACTGACATGCATGAAATACGGTTTTTTACAAAAACTTAATACACACTGAATGATAAGCACACACACACTCTGTTTTACTTTCTTGAATATTAATTGCTGTATAAAAGTACTAATTAATTGTTCGGCATGATATAACTCCGAATGAAAAGCATTTTCTTTTGCTCAGATTCAGTCTCTTAATAATGAACAATAGCCAATTCTAATAAAGTTAACTAATAAAGTGATTTCTGTGCATATAAACGTGTAGAACAACCTATGCATTCAGTACAAAAAGATAAGAAATGAAATTAAATAGATTTCTTTTTAAATTTATAAAAGACGGCGATTTAACTGACAACTTCGTACTGGTTGGTCTCGTAGTCTGGAGGAGGAATGTACACCGGTGAGCCCCGTCTATTGTCGCGTGAGTCTCGATCCTCTTTCCAAGAATTTACCGCCCCCGGTGAATCCTCTGGCGAGTGGTCGTACATACGGTTGTTGAACTGTGCTGCGAACAACCTATCGTCCATCCATAATTGTGAGGGCGGCCTTAGGGCTGAGCGTGGTGGGAGAGGTCGCGGGTATTCAGCAGTCCGAGGAGAATGGGAACTGACTGACGCTTGCTTGCTACAACCGAAAATGGGAAAGTTTGGCGTAGTCAAACGACATTTTATGGCGACAACAATCTCCAGAGCTTATTTATTCCTTGTTGCCTTCTTTCTTGCTTTGAATGAGACTATAAAAGTTTGTGGTACACTGTGATAGAGGATACATAAAAGAACATTGCGTGAATACGTTACCCTTCAACTGCACTTCTAATACATTCATCTATTTACTTATTCCCTCTTATTGTTTAGAATTGATTTTCAAATTGGCGCAGGTCACTGAGATATCCGCTGCCTTTACTACGTCATCGGTAAAAGTGAAAAATTATGTTGTTCCAATGAATACGTTTTGTAAGCGTTTCTTGTAAAACAAGAACCATGTGGGAGCAGTGCCTTTGACCCCTTACGCGTGTGAAAAATTACACCCCCATTACAAGGAAATCCAATCTCGAATATGAAAACCACCCGTGGTCGATGAATTCAATATCGATTATCTTAACATTGTGAAGGACATATTCGTGCCGATTACCTTTTCAATCGCTGTATTTTTCTACGGTGGACACAACAAAAGATGCCAAATCCAAAGACGGCAACAATAAAGGCAAGAGAACCCAGCACGGCACCTATTATCCATATAGTCGGGGGCTGAAGGACACCTGGCGGCGAGGTTATTTTGATCTTGCACACTGAGTGGTCAAAGATGAATAATTTTAAAATTTAAATATAAATAAAACAGTCCGTTGAACTTGTAATCAAAACTGGGCATATTTGTTTTTAAACCCACAGAACCATTTTATATTATCAAAAAGCACATACTTAAAACACACTAAAACAAAATTTTATTAAGAAAATATAAACAAAGAGGAAAAATAGTGACAAGAATTATAAGTAAACGCATGTCTTCAATATTGTTTTAATCACCTTCGAACGCGGAAATTAAAGTGGAAATTCGTCAACCAGCTCTAAAATATTTTCAATATACCTTCTGTTGCGGTCCACTGATGAACGCTGGCATTAGGATAGCACACTTTGCCACTGTTCTTTGGATCCAGCTGACATAAAGCGTAGCACGTCCCGTCAATGAGACAGAAATCATGCTGAAAATGATGTAATATGGAGAGACAAAAGAAGGTTGCTGCTTAGAGTAGGCTGGCCAACTCCTCACGATTGAAATTCACTTGAGACGTACTGGGCAATTGGCACGTCAAAATAATGGTTTAAAATGCATTTGACTTACTTTGTCACGCTGTCAAGTACGGAGACGTTTTCTCCCAATATCAAAATGTGCACATTTTTTTAATTGTGGGGTAATCTATACTTTTGTATGATTTGCAAAGTGATTGAATTTGCACAGAAAATCAGCCTACTTGAAATATACCATCTTGTGTATAAGACATATGTATTTTTATAATTGAATGACGTATCGTTCTTTCATCGTAACATCAACAAGTTAGTAAAGTGTATACAATAAAACATATTATTTAAGTAAAGACGAATTTCCATTACCTTCACTGACCAGCCATGATCATTGTCAGTTGCAGAACAAAACTGGCAGAAAGAACCCGGGTTGGTTTCACCGTCGTTGTAACACTGCGTGTCAATACTGCATGTATTTGGCTATATTTGACGCAAAATAAATAAAACGACGATAAAAATCTGTCTCTCATGCATGGGTTTCATAAATGGGCATTGCAAAATTGTTTTTTAGATTAAACAGCACATTATTTTACATTTTTGCAAAGCGCATTATGCTTTTAATTCATCTTTGAATAAAATCCGGGCATCATGTTGAATGAAAGTACTTAATTCCTGAAATTATTATGTATGATGACAATTAGAAATAAATGCACCACCTACAATGGACTGCGTCTACAATGAAACAGAGACAAACTGATATACCATCAAAGAATTTCATACAGTAATTGCAAAGTAAACTGAAGTACACTCCAACAAAAAGGTCATTGAAAATACGAGGTACAGCCCTCATCCATCTACACTTATAAACCAAGGCTCCAAGTTGGAATTCTGCAGATCTTGCACGTTTGCGCGTGTTTATAACTTATTAGTACTTTTTGGCAAGAACCTACTTTGCGGAACCAAGTGGAGTTGCTGTAGGTGATGTTGCAGGTGCGACATCTATCGGCGACATTTTCCTCTCCGTCGGCGTAACAACTACAGTCAATGGTGCATGCGTCGCTCTGCAAGATGAGGATGGCAGATTTGAATTCTTTACATCTTTATCAGAACAGTTTAAAGATAACGGTCTGCTACGTAACACGCAATTAAATGAAAACATATACAGTGTATATATCGAAATATATATTAGAAATCGCAAAATATGAGATGCCCTGCATCTTTAAAATTTAGGGTTGGACAAATAGACTTGCCTAAGACTTTAATTTATGTCTTAATTATCATGGAGCTATGCTGTGCTCTGTGTGAAAAAAGATGTTCAGCGCAGTGTATACACGACTTAGACCTACCTTAAGCCGGCAGCTGTTTGGGTCATTATTTCTACAAGAGACACACTTGTCATCAAAGGTTATCAGGTGTGTAGCATTGCTAAACTGTGCGTTGTTGTTGCTGACGCTAATGCCATAACGGTAGATTGGAGGTCCAGTACACTCAGCGCTTCGTTTATGGTGCCTTGCTCTAGGAAGAGGGCAGATTACTTCTTGAAAGTGAACGAATTCTGCAGCCATTAGTTCCACTTTTGCCGCGCTACTCTGAGGCTTTCCTACCGTCACCTGAGAGAGATATAAGATAACGATACGTTCTTAATTATATTCTTACTGAATTTAAAGTATAAATTGAAAAGTCCTGCATACGTGTCTTTCCTCATCATGAATAATATATTAACTCCACTTTGTACTTTTTTTTACTATAATTTCATAATAAAGTTGTATTGAAAATAAATGGTTCAATAGGTATAGGCCCCTATTAAGGATGTTTGTAAATATCGATGTTGCTCATTGTCCTCATTATATCATTAATAGACTATATGCATGCCATATATGTGTATTTGAACAATATTTCTGATCCAAGTAAGACATTGTCATTCTCAACAGCACCTCCTGAATTTCCACTTTACATGTTAAGTTTTTATTGTCGAGGAAGGTGCCTCCGTAGACGGGTGACCTTGCACATGGCCTTGACCTAGTTTTACACAGGCCGTCGCCCGGGAGGTAATAAATGGTTGGCGCGGCGGATATATCAATAGAACAATCTGCGCCAGCAAACGTGTCGTCGCAGCTACACGTGCCTGTAGTGAAGATCAAGATATTAATGAATATATTAAATGCACAATGCCATAATAATTCATTTCTTTCTTTTTTCTTCAATTGTTAATTTTTTGTTTACACACATACACACACAGAGAGAGAGAGAGAGAGAGAGAGAGAGAGAGAGTACGGACCGTTGATGCATTGGCCATTTCCACTGCATTCATTTGGACATTGCACTGCCTCCATTTCCTTGGGAAGGGAAACTTTGCCGGTCTCGTTGTTAATCACCCAAATTGATGGGTTTTTTTCTAGTTCTCCTAGACATGAACTCTTGATAGCTTGAAGTGCTGCAGGTGCCCATTCGGTGCTACCAGTTAGCTAGAAATAAACAAGAACGGTAAATGTTTATTTGTTGTTTATTTGTAACTTCTCAGAGTGTTGAATAACTTTTTTATTTGTTTGTTTCACGTGCACATCGCTTATGAGCAGTTAAAGATATCAGATCTACTTCAAACTTCAAATGATACTGAATTCATTGTAGAAAGAACGAATACCCATACAGAAAATTTAACCATGTCCGAAATAACAAAAACACACCCAAAGGATATGCGTTACTACAACATGCATTGGGTTTCGTGCAAGCATTCTAGTGTGTTGTGTGTGTACGAGTGAACATATATAGGCTTACGTATATGTCTTCTATGCAGCCTTTGATGGGATCCCTTGTGTTGGCACCAGGTACCGTCTCGCAGGACTTGCCAGTGCTTGTGTTGGCCATGAATGATTCACAGAACTGAGCTGCAGTGGCGTTTGTCCAGCTATTCTTCCACGATGGTGCCTAGGCAAATGCAATTTGCAATAATGATTGTTGTACAGTTTGGTAGGTGAAGATATTTATTGCAATATTTGAAAATTGTCCAAAAATATGGAAATTGTGCACACATCTGTATAGATACGTGGAAAAAATGCTTATCCTCTATAAAATTGCAACAAACTGTGTGTAAAAAACAAGCCCTTTCACGCTGTCTTGTACTAAAAGCTGTTCTTCTGCGTGCCCTTTCTAATAGTACGTATGATTTCCTTTGTACATATGACAATGGGTACACAACACTTAAATATTTCACCATCACAGATGCCTTTGGACTGTTCTGTGGACCAGAACAGAACGATAGTGCAAATGCATGTTGCGTAAATGCTTTAAAATATAGGTAAAAAAATCTAGCATATACCGGCACTGTATGATAAATGTCGTATTCAAAAACCCTAGTTTCTAGAACATCGTCATGACCTTCGCCGGATTCCTCGGCGGCCCTACGGCGCCGACATTTCTGGTGCTCTCTAGAGGAGAAGTTGTCATCTCCTGGACACTTGGCAATATTCTCTGCGTTACCACACTGCACGATTGAATTAGCGTCATTAGTTTCTGCAGAACATCGGCAATAGTTAGACCGGGATGTTGACCGCTTTGAGAATTGCAGCTGGGAGGAAGGAGGTCCGTTATAGATTGAATACTGCGGCTGCACCCTAAATGTATAAAATAGCAAGGTGTGGATTCGAGTCAGGGCTCTGTTAACTCGAAAGCGTCGCGAATTGCGAGTCACCTTTCATTTCGAGGCTATTAGGGCGAGTAAACCCCAAGTTATGGAATAGAGACGCTTGCGCTCGGTCGCAGTTTGCGATGCTTTCGAGTTACGGAGCCCAGGTGTTCCGTACCGCTTTGTGTGTGTGTGTGTGTGATTTTTGTTATTTTAGAAAACGTGTTTTAATAAATAACAATCAAGAAAATCATAAAAAAATCTTGACAATACCTCCAGGACATTGCAAAATCCTTTGGGTAGCTAGAAACGGGTTCAGTACGTCCGTCTCTAGTCAGGAAGTCGTCGCTTTTGTTATGGTTTAGGGTTCCACACAATCCAACTGTGCGGTTAAAATCCTTAGCTCCGGGATGAATCTGGACATTCATGAAGTCGTCGTGTCCATATCGATAGACCATTATGTCAACATAGCCTCCAGTGGGTAAGTACACCTTAAAAAGTAATATTTCAGTGAGCATTTCCTAACAATCCGTCTGGACAATTATGAGATTATTAAAGTAACGCTATATAAACACTGTTAACAACTGTTCTCTTTTGTCTCTACTGCTCAGTCAATAACATCAGCATATCTAAATGTTAATATGACATTGGTTCTTATGTCTCTGGCTTTTAAGTGAAATTTTTCACAAAAATGATGGTTTCAGATTTTTTTCAATAAGCTGGTAATCTACGAATTTAAGTGAAAAGTGAAATTTAGTTTTTACCGATACCATTCAATGATTGGACTTGTTCCACATAGGCAACAATAGGCCTACCTTAAAATGCTTGCCACCGTTTAAAGACTCCACCCTCAGTTGCCCGTCCTCGCACCCAACAAGCCCCACTCGCATTGGTCTCTTGGCAGTGATTTGCTCCAGTCCCGTGCCAGGTTTACATGTGTCCACTATGAAGACGTCTCCCCCAGACATCACGCTCACAGCACAATTACAGTATGCGTAGCCGCCGTTGCAAGGTTTGAAAAAAGCATGCACCTACAACATTATAATTTGAAAAAGAAATCAACGGTTCGTGTTTCGTTTTTCATGAAGGGTCTAAGAGGAGATATTATCGCACGAGAACTCTTTTAATTTGTGTCCATTTTATACCTTTGAATGAAACCCTGATTCTGCCAGAGCCTTTTTGGGATGTTCTAATACTTCAAAGTATTAACACAAATTCAAAGAAAGAGTTTTAAATTACGACATGTGGAGTTTGACAAATGACAGAATTGGTGAATGAAAACAAACATAATATTTTACCTGAACTGGTAATGTGGTATGTTTATACAAAACAAATTCACCTCCGTACTGGCATTCGTAGTTGCTATAATGTCAAAAATATATTTGAACAGATTATTGATACAATATGGATATATTGTTTCAACATGGATCTATAAATTAATAATAAAAGCATCGTGGAGACCTTGATTTGTGTGCGAGTGAGGGAGTAGTTGTGTTGTAATTTATCTAATCATACTTAAGAATTTTTTAAAACATTCAATATTGATGCCATGACCAGGTGTATGTACATAAATGCATATCTCCGTATACAGAAAATGTTGCGTTTGCCTGCGTTAATAAAATTGTGACAATAAATTTAATTTAATATGGGTAAGTGTATGTTTGCAAGCAAAGCAAGCAAATGCTTTTGGTAGGCTATAAGACCTGTCACAAATCACGGCACGATCGAACACTTTAAAAAGTTATTCAGTTCATCTCAACTATCATGTATGTGAAACACGACTTGCATATATATATTATGCGGTAAAGCACTTACTTTCCATCGAACGTCCTCATATGCGGGTCGTTGTTCGACATGCATACCTGGCCGATGGCATCTACATCCGTATCTAACACCGTAACCTGAAAATGGTTTTTAAACTTTTGAAAACGTTAATATAAATGCTTAATTTTTAAAATCATAACATTTTAAACCAGCATTTTATTGCACACCGTATATGTAATTTGATATTTGATTCCATTTAACTGTCATACGAATGCCATTTTTGGTATATTTTCTGAGTAAACACTGCAATTTATCTTGGGTGCATGATCAGTGTCTGTTTATCTGTTGGCCAGATTACTATGAGAAATTGTAGGGGAATATTTTACACCTAGTTGGTGCGTATGTGGAGAAAACTAACATAAAATGCCGTGCTGTGGATAGATTCGGTCATACTTACAGGTATATCGGGCAGTGTATAGTCGTTCCATGCGGGATGAGTAGTGAATTCCCCAGTGTGTACCATAACTTTGGTGTTCGTGTGGCCGTCATACACGCCATCGACAACCGGAGCTATCTTGAAGGTGTGTGTTTTGTTCCAATTCATTGCGTTGATTTCTAATCTGCAAGGTGTCCTCTCAAACTCTGAGACAAACTCCAGTCTTTCTCCGCTACTACATAGTCGCTTCTTTGGGACAAGCGGGATTCTTATCTCCACTGGGAGTAGCTGCTCATGGCAATAGCTTTGGAGCTTCAGATCAGAACACAGGACAGGGACTGTTGGTTGGAGTCTTATTTCGGTTGAGACAACATCGCTTTCCTTCAAAACTATAGGCAGAGTGTTAAGCACCTGCAAATATAAGTTGCCTTAATTTTATGCAGTACTACTGGTATTTATTAACTGGTATTCTATATATACATGTACTGAATATCTGGGCGTTACATTTCTTTGTGAATGTGAAGCGGCGTTTAACTTTTGAATTGAGAAGTAGGTTCACATTGTTCTGCCCGGAAAGACCGAGTAAGCATCAATCGTTCTAGATTTTATCATACCAGTTAGTGCAATAGAACACCTATATTTATTACATCCATAGGATTTTTACGTTAAGCCAGCGTCAGGAATTATGACCATGTGCAGCCTTTGGTATCTCAATGATTTGGGGCAGGAGCGCACTTCGATGCTTTATATCAATAAACAGGCCGATTGAAAGAATGATGCAATATGTAACGCCAATCGTATCTTAAGTTTTATAGCAACTGTAACTACAAATTAATTTTCTTCTAGACAAATTGTGACAAAAACCTTCCAGTACAAATCAAAGAAAGACAAGTAAAATTCTCAACATAACAAAATAAACAAAACGTGAAGGTAACTTCTTTTCTGGGGCGACCTCTTACTCTAAAATGACTGACGAATTTACATTAGCTCAAGTGAACATACACCAAAAATACACATTGGGCGAGCAAAAAAGATCCCTTAGCCTCTTTAGCCTTTGACTTTTAGGAGTGCACACGTTGTGAGGCTGTGCTTTCCTTTACCTTTAGTCCCGCAAAAAACTCCTCGCTTTTCAAAGGTGCACTTCGTCCACCATGTATTATTCCATTTTTCATGAACTTTGCCCGCACGGTGCACTTAACCTTGAACAAATGACAATTACCCAGTTATAAGGAGGCTAGATTTACCTATCATCTTTTAAACTTAGATTTGTTCCAATTTTTTGAAATTTGTCTTTTATCTCTGAACTTAATTTTAAAAGACAGTTGAGACCATTACTTACTTTAAACCCCAGTGAGTGCTTCCCAACCCAGTGGGATTCCTTTAACGTCGCTGGCATGTTTTTGGTGGGCATGTCCTCGTCTTCTAGTATCTTTTTGCCATCAAAAAACCAATACACGTCGAAGAACAGCTCTCCACGTTTTTCTTCGGCAATTTGACCATACTGTTGGTCGCACTTGAACACTATTTCTTTAAAACGCTTCCCCCACTGATTTTGTCTAATGCCTTCGCCGACGCTCACTTCTGGGATTTGAGTGATGTTGGGAAATACATCTGTGGAATGTAGTTGTGAACATAAAATTAAGTTGAAAAGCTATTTTAATGTAATCTGCTCATTTTGTACCATTATATATGTAATATGCTGAATACATGTACGTGCAGTATCGATAATAGGACATGCGGTTCTCTATCTTTCAAATTAAAAGGATTAAAGATTAAATTCGGTTGGTATTCAATGTTCTGAACCCACAGCTCGTTAATTAGATTGTTAGGGAGCACACAGTTACATGGGCCACATTGGATAATTTTGTACCATCAGGGCCAAAGGTGAAAGTTGCATGCTTCTCACCTGTACATCCCGGTTGAAATCCAGTTTCAGACGTGTGGCCTGGTGGGCAAAGGACCTTGTCACCTAGAACATTTGTAGAAACAGGGATTGTTTTCACAATACGTTTAACTGTCATAATATACAATGGCTTTGTCTTACAACTTGACTTTGAATAAAGTCTCAGAAAATTAGTTTTTATGTTTGCAGACATCAATTCTTGTCTCTGTCTTAGTCATCCAAAGCCTCCACATACAGACTTGACATTTAATATGGAATATTTTTTTCCAAATCATTTTTCATCAGTTTTTTCCTATTTTGCTGACTGATAAATGAAAATAAGGCTTAAAATTGGGTTTTAATAACTTTTAATTATCCTTTTGATGTCATTGTGTCTTCAGTTAATTAATGGAATTCGCCAGAGAAGCAAACAAAAACACATTGCCTATTCTATGTCATACGACAACAATTAAAAGAGATATTTTGGATCACCATATTTTCCAAATTATTTTCTGTAAAAGAGTTACACGCCTCACAAAGAACCCCCATGTCAGTGTCTAGTCACAGTAACGGTCGCTGTTACGCTTGACCTCTTCTGTCTGCTACCAGCGCTCTCAAGGGGCAAGGCATTCCTTGGGTTAGGTTTTTAGAGTTAAATCTGGAATAACATTCCAGGCATCGGTCAAAATCTGTCCAATTTGGTCCAGTTTTGTTGTAGGACATGTAGGCCATTGATTCGGCGAGTAATGGCCTACCCACATATTGTCTATGTGGTTCAAATGTGGCGATTTTGATTACCAAGGTAGCTGCTCATTCCCTTGGTTCTGTAAGTAATCTGCTTTTAAAAGTGCTCTGTGTGTACCGGCAATTTCACCGTGCAACCTAAAATTGTTCCTAAGGTGCCCCCTGTCAAATGATTGTCAAGTGGTTCCCAGATTATTCCTTTATTTGATCTGGTTCAGGTTTTCGTGGATGACCATCATTGGTGTTTTGGCACCAATGTGGTATCCGCTCCAATTACCGACGCTGTTAATGAACTTAGTCACTTTAAACGCGGCACACGCTTAGTTGTTGGCCTCTTCTGGATGTCTGTAAATTCTGTTTTGACAAGTTGAGCGGTATAGGTGAAAACTGACCTCAATAAAGAAAGCCACGAGTTTTCAGTGTTCAACTCAGAAACAGTCAAGGTCCCCAATTCATTAGAGAAACATACAGCGATGTTTTGCTGTTTACAGTGGGTTCCCCCGAGGTCGTCTGGTATTCTAACCAGCTAAAACCAGTTTGGTGTTCGCTAAGGGCCTTGAAAAATGCGTTTTGGTGGCAATTTACCCCTCATTCTGAACGGACTGGGTGGTTTTTGTTTAGTTGCAACAACATATCCCGACAGACAGTACGTCCTGTACCCTGGTGGTAAGATTTCAATACATTGGGTGTGGTCTCTGTGTAGGTGCATCAGTCTGGACATTACTCTATAAAACTGTGCGGACCGTTTCGTTTGGCGCAATTATCTGTCTGGCAATGCCTGGCTTTTTCGAGCCATTCTGCCACAGATTAACAAATTTGCGGAGCAGTGCATAGCTCATTTTACACCTTGCAAAACTGACCACTTGCATGCCAAATTTCAAATTCTTCTATGCAGTAGTTACCGACATATGGATACTTTTTTGGAAGAACCATGCTTTGCCAAAGCCAAGCTTTGACCTGCCCAAAGGAGCACTACCCAATTAAATCACTGCATATTACATAATGCAGCAGCGCAACAAACCTGGAATTCAGTGAATTGGAAGCGACACACCTGACTACACACCTCTCCATTCACATATCTTATATGAGATCTGAGTTTTTTGAAAAAAGGATGCATTTTTACCTAGGCATACCTTCGAAACTGAAATATTCCATATTAAATGTCAAGTCTGTATTATCTCAAATGCTTTTGGCTTGCACAAATAACGCAATTCTTATGTGTTAAATATGGTACCAAAACATTTATTCTATCTCGTCACATGTTTGACACAAACAATTAAATCACTCACACTTTGACAATCCCATAACGTACCTATGCAGTAGCGTTCTGGACAATCCGACACTGATGGCAGCCTATATACCATAAACGTGGAACAGTTCTTGATTTGAATGTCGTATGACTTTGCACAACAGTTTCCGGTTTCCTTCATGCAAGCGGTTCTGTTGACAACGCCTTCTTCCTCATCGGGGTGTGAATCTGGAAGCGAAGAAAGAAACTGCGATACTGAAACACATTTAAAAAGATGAAAGTGGGAAGGAAATGATGAATAGTAAAAGTGACAGTTTGCCAAATGAAAATGACCAAAACAAACAAATGAACAAAAAAGCATAATGGCTTTTGGGTCTGTCTTTGGGTTATCCGTGCTCAAGGTAGGTTCTACTAACGTTACAGAACAAACTGCCCACCGTTAAGCCAGATAGGTCTCTCTGTCCCACAGTTCCCGTGAACAATGCACGTGGTCGGCATCGTGCTCCCAGTTAACATGTCGAAGCGGTACCAGCTGTTGTTGAGGTGATTGTCGCAATTTATGGGCAATTCAGACAAAAAGGTCGAGCTTCTGGTTACTTCATCCTTCCGCACAGTGTGTTGCACACAGGGATTAAATTCTTTAAGTTAAAAAATATGTAGGCCTATATTGTTATGATTTGGTTTTAAATAAATATACATTATAAAGTTTATGTAGCCAATGAACAGTTAAGACATGGAATCTTTTGCAAAATCACCCTGCACTTTAAGCAATTACAAAGTGCGTTATACTATTTTACCTGGTATATGCAGTGTGTTTTGATGGTCTTACGTTCAGAATTTTCATGTTCATATCGGATACATGTCACTGTTTGTCGGCACGTTTCTCCGCTGCAGGCCGACAAGTTAATCTAAGCTCATTGGGTACAGGGTAGACGTGTTTTACATGTTTGTATCTGGTGTACTCGCAAAAAGGGTCGATTGATGAATCAATATAATATACTGAATAAATTCGAATTCATTACCTTGACATACACTTTTATAATCTTTACAACAGTCACTTGCTATTAAGCAATGCTCGTCACACATGCATCCTGCCCTGGTACGGCAACCGTCGTCTTGGCCAGGGCAACATCCATAGTCAGCACAGAAACCATTGGTCTCTTAAAATAACAAAGGGTACAAGAACTGAGCAAAAAGTTACACATATTTTTTTCTTTGAGGACAACCATAGTGTTACTCTCTCCCAACAGAATGAGTGTTATTTTCATCAAAACCCTTTTTCAAATGCGTTATTCTCACTCCTCCTTAATTCATTGAAAATTAGAAAACAAACATCGGAATGATTTGTTCGACGATCTTATTGCATATTACGTAATTACCTGTAATCCACTGGGAAATAAAGACAAACACGACACATGTGAAGCCCTTTTCAAAAGGAAGTTTTGCCATGTTGTACTTTGTATCTGGAAAAAAGTCGGTTTGCCATTACTTATATCTGGGATGGAAGAATATGAAAAAAAAAGCATCTGAAAATATATTGTTTTGATTGAATAATCCACGTAACAGCAAAATATAAGTCCAAAATAAAGAGCTTATTGTATGATGGCCGTCTATCCAGTAGATATATACACATTCACTCTATTATTTTCTACATCCTACCAGTACATTAATAAAGTAACTCAAGAATATGTGCCTTGAAAAAACAATATCGTCTAACTTGTCCAGAAAGTGTGTTCCGGTCGCTATCTCACTCGTCGTTGGTTTAATCTTGCCACACTTGGGAAGAATTTATTGCTAATGTGCGATATGCTTACATACATACATGCATTGTCTATCTTTCCATCTAAATGTATAACAAGTGGAACACTCAAACTTATGTCATTAATGTAAATGTTATGTAAGCGTGTAAATGTTATGTAAGCGTGTTTTTTATTTAGATCCCCGAGTAACATATTTCAGAAATCATGCATCATCTCACCTTTTCTGTCCTTATCTTCACAAAATTTGACTGAGAGGCGTCTTTGGCTGCGTGCAGTGTGTAGACTGTTGCCAGCCTTTCCCCTCAAGAAACCAGCTGAGTAGTGACCATAATAAAGAGTGATATTGTCGAAGTTTTATAATTCACGTTTTGTACTTGTCTAGACTGCTTACAGACTTAACAATAAATAAATCGGCTGACATATGGCCGTAACGAAGAAATACTCGCGCAACGCTGTCGAACTCATGTGATTGAAAGCTGTATTTTGAACCTTTCTATTGATTTTTGTACTAACTGGAGCACAGGCATGGTATCTTATCAAAAAGGAAGTTTATTTAAACCAAGAACAGATGGATGTGAACTTGGCTAGCCTGTGGACTCTGGCATTAAACAACACGTTTGTCACCTTATCTCACTTTTTCCCCCTGACGTCGGCATAAACAATTGCAGCGGCTGGTTGAGCACTCCAGGAACCTGTCTGTGAGCGGGCACGCTGCTGCTGGGAATTCGGAGGGGGGGGGGGGGCATTTATTTCGTATTAGCCTGTGCTGGTTACGGTTGTGCCACTGTCGGTGCAACCGATTTAGCGACAGAGACTTTCATCACTTTCCTCGTACGGGATGTATATAACAATTATTTTGTATTAAAAAAAATGTTTCTAAAATGCAATGCAGTATCTCATATCAGTAGGGTAACTTGTGTCATTATATGGATAATATGAATAAAATGACAGGTGCGTAGTCCTACTGTTATCTAACATCACAAGCCTTTACATTGATAGTGCTATTGAAAGTGTAAATCAATTTATATGTGGCATGAATAAAACTATACCGGCAACAACAACATAAAGGTTTCTACATTTCACTTCACATAATAGGTATAGTAACAGATAGTAGTAATTTGGTAACGGACTACGGTTCCTGGCGGACTACAGGATAATTGAACATGATCTACCATCTATTGAGAGAATCAGAATTGAGAAGATGAGGGCACACACGGCCAGTGACTTTTAAGATCCTTAATTAAGATTGTTTACATTTCTACCAAGCAACAAGACAGTTCTGAATTTTAAAGGCAGTAAGCAGTTCCTAAAAAACGTGACGTCAATGCTTGAACGAAGCTGTTCATTGACATTCAGACTCCATTACCACAAACACCATCGGTTTACTCAGGGACTCTCGCAAAGTGCAATTCGCTTGACTGAACGAACGCCTCCTCCAATTATAAGAAACAATAATAAAATATGAGTATACCATCTTGTTTAGGTTCGAAAAATACGCAAAATCTACTTCAAGCCGCGCAAAGAACATTGATACGTCATGTTATATTTTGCGCAGTCGGTAACGAAGCAACTCGTTTGAATAAAGACAATTTGGCAGAAAAGAATATGATATGAGCGCGGTCTTTTTGAGATTTAACCAATGGGTTATGGGAGATTTTTATTTTATTAAACCCACTTTCATATAACACGCCCCGTATTTTGATAGTATTCTCCACTCATAATACTAAGAGAAACAGCTCTATGTGTTTGAAAAATCTGCTCTCTCTACGCACACACGTTTCAGCTAAATAGTAGCGTGATACTTGCAACATGACCTGCTAACCTACAAGTACCCCGGTAACTCCATCCTTGTGCTCACATCACGACTTTATCCGGAAAATAGCATTTAGCATGTACTTGTACATGTGCAGAGTGGTAAACAGTGTCGTTGTCAACTAGGGAGCAGACAAAATTGCCTCACTTACACGCAAATCACCTACTTAAATTGCTCTGTTGGTAAGTGTTACTTACAGTTGATGTCAAATTTAGTGGTACAGTAAGGAAGAGCATTGTTTAGAAGTGAATGATTAGTACTGGAGGACTGTTTTGTCGCCATTCGCCATTCACTTGTTTGGAGAGACATGTCAGCCCTATTTTGTTAGTTTGCAGACTTTCAATGGAATGGTTTTCCTCGAAATTGCAGATATACTAAAAAAAAGCCAGCAAACGTTTGTAAAAAATGGTGCATTTAAGCAATTATGACGAAGTCGACAGCGACGACAGACGCAAATGGTGACTATAAAAGACTTCTTTTAATTTGTTGACTAAGGGTCGAGAAGCCATTCAATACAGAGACATTAGCAAGTTGAAGCAATAAGATAGAAAAGGAACCAAATATGCCTGTATGTCTCTATATAACGAACGGAATAACGTTAGCTAGTTTTCCCGTGGAGTACGGTGTACTAAGGTAGAAAATTACCTTCTTAGTTGTAATGAAAAAAAAAAACATATAAAACGTTTTGAAGTTCACAGATTATGTATTTGAAAAAATCCCTTGAACTTGAAAACTTATAATCTTGAAACTTCTGAAAACTTATGAAAACTAGTGGAAACTGATAAAAATTCTATACAATATGGTCGGGGAAGATCGTGACGCTGAACTGAATTAATAAATAGGGCGGGAGTTCGAATATACAGGTAGCTAGGATAAGTCATGTGACACATATGAACACATCTTCTGAACAATAACTCTGAACCAACAACGTGCTGTAGCTACATGGCTCCCCAAAAATAACAAATTTTCCATTAATATTTATTACATTAACGTAAATCATTTTAGTGTCATTTTAAATAACAAATTGAATTGACAAGCATTAATTACCTTTCATCATAGATACCATTCACGTCATCACTAATGCTCTGATATTCCATAGATATCTTTACCCTTGACCGTGGTTGTAAACGTATATAAAGTATAATAAACCGTAAATATAGTTAATAAGCCATATACCGTATGATATCACTGATACACAATAGTATACTATGACCGCATTATCTCTGAATAGCACAGAAATACCCAAATTAATGCTTTTTAATTTTTACGGCATTCTTGATGTAAACAGTACCTTTAAATCATGTGCTCCTACATTACCTTCTAAAGTAAACGCCAGAACTACTTACTGCACTATTACATCATTAATACACATCTGAAAAAATTCTAAATGATTATATATATATATATACCTTAACAAAAAAAAAAAAAAAACAGCAAATATAGATAACCAATTAAGCATACACAGTGTGTCCGTACGACCTTCAGCAAAAGAAGTGTGAAAATGTTCATGTAAAACATCCATATAGCACAAACCTGAAATGATGCTTTGTAACAGCTGGATTCCATAACTATTATACCATCATACTTAAATTTATTATTCATGCAAGTGCTATATTTAATTTGCAATATACCGTGTAGTACGTGGTTTGAGCTTAGAAATACTGTAGTTGCAATTAAAACCATAGTGCTTGTATACATAGAAGATTACAAAGAAGGTTTTTAGTATAAGTCTTTCAAAACGTCAACCTTCATGTTGTTACCATAGCCATCATGCTGTTATACGTTTTTAAGTTAATTCTGCTAACATCTATTGTCGTGTATATTGTGGGAACGAGTCAGAAATAGAATCCACAATTGTCGATAAAATATATAAAATGTACTTCGTAAGGTTTTATTGACTTTAAGTATATTCTAGTATTTTACTGCATTAAATGGTTTCTAGCTTCTTAAGTAGCATTACAAAAAAATGTGAAGTGCAGTTTTACCTGTATGTTGCTGACTTTTATCGTACAAGGCCATGAAAACCACGGTGTGATATCAAACGGAGCACCTGGTAGGAGTTTATTTCAATGCTGCTACTGAGCATCCACAGTCTTAACTGAAAAGTTATGTATGTATTGTTTTCATTTTTGAAACCCCAGCAAACGTTTAAATCTTTGTCGGAATAATGAACCGCAAAGCCCGTAAAAGAAAAAATTAACTGACGAGTTCAGACTTGCTAGAAAAAAACCCGTGGGTGTTGTCCAGCTTTCAATGACTGCAATGATCTCAAACTGTCCGGCCATATTATCCACGAAAGCCAAAACGAGGAATGTAAGAGTAACAGGTAACACAGTTAATATATAAAATGTCATCAGTAACATTACCGTTTTCATTATCTGTATGGAATTATAACTGTTCGTATTGTTCATTGCTAGTCGAATTTCAGCTTGCCTCCTCAAGGACTGAATAAGTTTCGCGTGTAGAAAAAGCATGAACCCATTTGGTAAAATGTTGAAAATGAGAGGAAGCACCTTGCGGTAAACAAGTTCATGGCTGTTGGTCCATTCCTTTAAACGAACATCCAGACAGAAGTCACCCGAGTTGTATCCACAAGGAAGAAATCCAACAATTTCAGTGTCAAAAAACTTCGGAAATTGATACATTGTGATCATTGTTAATAACACAAGCGTCCTCCACCGCCATTGTGATACCTTTCGAAACTCAATGCTTTTCACAGGTCTGTCAATTGCGAGATAACGGTCGAATGCTACAAAAACTAGCAGAAAAACGGAAGAAAGTCTTGCAATCAGCATGATTGGCCAAATATAAACGGTGATCGGCTGCATTGCGACAAAGTACCAGTCAATCCACCCTGAATAGACATGCAAAGCAGGTAAATGAACGATAAATATCGCCGTGATTAAATATATATTATCCGTGATTGCTATCCAGGACAGTAAATAATTAGTCGATTCATTTGCTCTCTCCTTGTAGAATACAATGAAAGACAGGGTGTTGCAAATTATTCCAATCAGACCAACGGCCAGTGACACGAATCCTAAAACAACGACGGTGTACAAGTTTAAGGCCGTTCGATGAATGGCGGTGCCATTGACCAGCGTACTGTTCAATGTATTTGCTGAGAAATTCAATTCGTCCTTATCGTCAAAGAAAGTTGCCATTATGTTTCGATAAGAAACAATAACGCTAATAAAACAAACCTGTCTTAACAATAACTGTACTTATGAAGCTGAGTCTTTATATCTTGCGATTTGTCCACCTTCTTAACCAATCAGAGATCAGAATAACAGATAATTGATTGTCACTGTTACTAGGAATCCGCCTTGCAACAGAACAAGGTACAGTTCATTGGTAAAAGAGACTTACCGGTCGCAAGCATTCGAAAACATGTCGCTGGAAGGTTGCAAGCGACCACAATAAATAAACGTAAGGTGGGCGTACCCTTGTCTTGCATGCTTTCTAAATATCATAATCGTAAATTATACTATTTTAGAAAAAGAAAACATAATTGTATTTGTTGACAAGATTTTACACTAACAGAGTAATGTGATAATTTTAATGCTATGTTAATTTCTGTAATTATTTTGTAAAACTCATTGGTAGGTCTAAATATGCTGATATGTTTCATCACTGTATGTCTTTTAAAATTTGCAAAGTCATATTATTTGAGGTAACAATGAAACAAATAGACTAATGCAGAGAAAACGGAGAATAAAAATAATTTAATGACTCTTAGACATTTTAACGATCTATCACATTATTTGTAGATAATTTCAAAATAACATTTTTCTGAAAAGTTAAGATAGACGTTCACATTCCAATAACAGAAAACAATATTATAAATGGAAATTAAAGATTTCTGATCAAATTATTTTTATTTTCCCTTTTCTCTGCAGTCGGTAGAGCAATTCGTTTGAAGAAAGACAAGAAAATATAATGAGCGGAGTTTGCCAGAGATTTAACCGAGGAGAATGGGGGATGTAACTCCTTGATTTAACGCACTTTCATAAAGCACGCCTCGTATTTTTAATAACATTCGCTACTCAGAATACCGAGAGAAACAGCTTTATGTGATTGTAAGATCTATTTGCTCTTCGCACACACGTTTCAGCTGATAATGTGCTTCACGCTACTTGTAATATAGCCTGCAAACTTTACTCCCTTTGTGCATTGACATCACGACTATATCCGGAAAGGTGCATTTAGCATGTACTTGTATGTGCAAAGAGTGGTAAACGGTGGCATTATCAACTTGGGAGCAGACAAAATTACCTCACACGCAAATCACCTACTTAAATGCTCTCCGTTGGTAAGTGTTACTTACAGTTGATGTCAAATTTAGTGGTACAGTAAGGAAGAGCATTATTTAGAAGTAGACGATAAGTACTTGTTACAGCACGAGTCGTCCACTGTATTCGTTACACAAGAGCACAGTTATATCGAATGAGTGTTTGAACCTTATTATATATGCACCGAGTTATTGCTCCTTTGGACTAAGTGCACAGATATATTCAGGAGTTGTTTGATAAAACCATAATATTTCACGTATTTCAATGGCGTTATTTAAAAATAAAAACATGTTTGAGGGTTTGTATTGGTAGGATTGCGTTAGTTGAGAAATGCAATGCACAACTAACCAACAAAGTAAAAAATAAAAGCAATTGGTTTCAACAAACTATGTAACTCCATTTCTACAATTACGTACTGCATCTTTTGTGAGTTAGAATTTTCAAAAAATTATTTTTAAAATAGAATTATAGCTCTATGGATAGTTGCTTTTTATAAATATGTTAATTGCTATTTTCTCCTTTGATCCATCACTTCTTCCGCTCTTTCCTCTCTCCGTCGTGTCTCTTGTTGCAATATATATATATATGTAAATTATACTAAAAACATCGTCATAATTTTAATATCGTTGTATTTTTATTTCTATAATGTTACAATCGTATCTTATAATACAGCGGAACAGTGTGATATAGAAGGTGATGCACACATTGACCCGGGTGTTTTAACATATTATTTGGCAATCGCCGAAGAAAGCCCCCATCCGCATTGCAAAACTTGGTCTGGCTTCAAGGTCTTTCGTCGTATGATTATTTCATCGAATCTCCTACTTGGCAGGTTTTAAGTCTCTGTTGCTTCCTGTGTAGCTTTCTCTGCTGCGCCTAAAAAAGTCACATGCAATGTTTTACCTAATTCATGATGACACTTAAAAAGAAGGACCCTTATAAGAAAGATATTTGAATGTAAGATAAAAGATGCTTGTCATGTTTGGGATTTTCATTCATAAATAAAATCAGGTCAAGGCTAGTGAAGAGTTGCCACAGTAATCGAAAAAATCTGTTTTCACACACACACACACACACACACACACACAAAAAAAAAAAAAAAAAAAAACAATGCTCATGTACTTCTAGTTGTTTGAAAAGGGGAAACACAAGGCCCGTAAAGGATAATCGCTTAAGTCGTGTTTCTACAGTATTGTGAAAGAAAAAATTGAGCGAATGAAGAAAATATTACTTAAAACGAAAATTAGAGGAAACAAGAACTCTTACTTGATTGTTTATTCTTTCACATTATAAAATAGAGTTAAAAGTGTAGAGCCAGTTATATGAATTGCCGTGTTGATAACTTAATGAAGTCAAGCAATTTAAATTATTTAAACAAATAAACAGAAAAAAATGACAAGCGAGGCAATCCAATTCAAAACCATATGTACTGACAGTCAATGAAAACGCATCAGAAAACTTCCTTGTACTTTTTTTTTTACCAAAAATCGATCCCAACCATATAAACGAGTACAAATGCACTTGTTTGGTCAAAAGAGAGTGGGCTGACCACTAGGAAGTTTAAAATTTCCGCTTCAGTGATTTTGTGATCAGCTGTTACAAAATCATGTGTTTTTCCTGTCTCGTGATTGGTGTGAATTAATCAGGTTCAATATCACCAAACCCAGTATGACACATGACAAAAAAGGTTCAGTGATGCCACGTCTGACACTGGAAGAGCAACAGCGGGACCTGGGAATGCTGGAGGATGGGCGAAACTAAAGAGATTTGATCACGTGACCTTGCATTTTAATGATCTTTTTTTTTACCTTTATTTCACCTTGTGTGAGTGAATAATGGGTCATATTTAACACGAAAACTGTTATTTTCTTAATGTGCCAAAGAAACCTCAAATATTATTTGATAAATAAATGATGCGTTTTCATTGACTGTCAGTATATATTCTACTTGTACCTTCATTCAACCGTATCTGTTATAGTAGTTGGCGTAATAGTTTCTCAGGTAGTTCTGATACCAGCGGTTGTACGCATTGTATCCGCTACTAGAACTGCTCGAGTGGGAGGTGCTGTAGCTGTTGGAATAGCCGTTGTTGTAAGTCATATCCACCCCGTACTGCACCTGTCCCGGGTGGTCCTCGCGGCCTCCGTAATCCACGCAGCTACAGCGGGCGTAGTCACAACGGTGGCCAAAGCAGCGGTAGTACCCCCCTGGACAGCGGCCAGTTTGACAGACCATCCAACCTCGCCCGGCTTGGGCTTGGTCAATTAAAAGCACAAGGAGGGGCAGCAGTAACGGCAGAAGCAAGAGGAGGGGTTTACCGTCGCGCACAACCGCCATGTTGATTGACTAAGACCTGTTTAAGAAAAACGAATGTTTTTAATCTGTTATCGAAGTAGAAGTCGTGTAGCAGTTCGAAATATGAAATCATTACTTAAAGCCTTTTATTCACTTTCTTTTTTTTTAGGATTTTGGTACCTAATTCGGGCCCCCATTTAAATTATAGGCAAAGTGACTGGAATATAGGAACACAAACTTCGTTTTCCATGATTATGACCGCATTTCTACTTGGCTCTTTAGAAAACCAATATAACCATGTGTACCCTCATCCGCATCCTTTCGAAGCTTTACACGTACTCGTGAGCGAATTTCTTAGAAAATTCTACATACGGTTCACAACCATTATTCTTTATCGTCTACGGACACTTTGATTCTCTATGCCAGTTTTCGTATCATAATATTTTTTCACAAGTAAAATCATCCTGTTTAAGCCTGAGAACACTACAAAACTCGCCTTGTCATGACCCAAAAACTGACCATTTCATTTACATTGTAAAATACTCACAGATGTTGCAGCGCGTTGAACCTGTAGGGACAACACTATCTGGATATGCTGGTAATCAAAAGTAAAATGTTTGCAGATGTTTAAGTTACATGTGAGGTCACATCTTTACAACTAAACCCGCCAAAATACCATCATTAAGTGTAAAATAGCATAACTAAATGAAATACCAAATGGTATCGTCTTATACTTCCCGAAAATGATATTAGCGCAGATTTTTTCTTTGTCGTTTTCTTCAGCCCTCATTGAAAATGTTATTTCAAACGCAACAGCTATGTGTAAATGTTAGGCCTACTAGGTCATTTGGCGGGCCTTTACGAACTGATGGAATGGATTTATAGGTCACATTTAAAACCAGAAATTTGAATTTAAATCATATTTCTGGCTGACTGAGTGATTTATTTGGTTCATTCTTCGGTACATGTATGTCGACTTTACTTGAACCGTATAAGAAACCAGCAAACGTAGTTTATATGCATTACAGGGATTCAAGACCTGCTTCTCTTTGTAAATGGAAAGAAAACAATAACTTAACTCCCCAAAAAGGAACACAATTAACCCAAAACGGTTATCAAATCCATATTCCCTCTTCAGTGACAAAAAGAAGACGGAAACAACTCTTCAGGCGTATGCCACTTTATCAGAATCGACCGTAATCCCATTCCCTTAATAAGGTTTTAAGTGTTTGTTTTAAGTCTGCACTGTACGTGAGCTAACGAAATAAGTTAACTCTGCGTTATATGTGTCTATCAGTACCACCTGGCCGTCATTAGAAAAAAACACCACCTGCTGTTCGTAATAAAGAAGAAATGCCAAACTGGTGAAGAATGTAACAATTCACTTCAGCAAAAGGGTTTCAAAAGCGGCGAATGCAGATTTTTTTTTGAAAAGGAACAGATCTATGGTAGAGGAAATACTACAGATAAGAGGAACTTTGCTTAATGCTGTGTTCTGAAACTTTGTCATTATTATTGCAAATACACGTAGAAGCCGACTTATATGCACCCCAGAAAGCATCAGTCGCCTCTTAAATCATTATTCATCTTTTTAAACTTAAATTAAACTTCCTTGTATTTTATGTTGTACAGTCTATTGAACATTTTATGGATTTTAGACTCGAAATAAATATATTATTATTATTATTATTATTACTTTTTTGCTACTATCTAAACAAAACATCCTTGGGACTCCTGGCGCCTTGGCCGTTCCTTGTTTTTTTACAAACCCGGGTGAACTTCCATTGAGATAGATAGCGCAACAAGGGTATTTTTTTCAATGGCATCATTACTGTGAAAGGTTAACAGCATATGGCACCACTGAGCAGTATGTACTCGTACGTGTAGTCCTCTGGATGTCACAGTGTCATTTCAGTCTCTAAATATGCTGCGTAGAAAACCCGTAGAGTCAGAAATAACGAAGTAAAATTGAACCGAGCCCACAAAATTCCTTAATCACTTGGTGCATTAAGGCCTATAAGATTAAACTACTACATAATTTTTGTTTAAAGAAAACGGGCTATGTTGGGAACATGATGCACAATTCGTTGCCAGACTAATGATCAAGGTGTTACGTAAAATGTTCAAATGTTTTGATACAAATTTTTTGCGCGAGGTTTTATCGATGTACAACCGTTGCTCAAGGGTTAAAATATTGGTAGAATTTCTTCACTAAATCTAAAAGGTGTACTGGGTTTCTTTGAATAATCTAAACACTTCAAGGTTCGCTGAACAGATCGTGGCACATAAAATGCAATGGAAGGGTAACATCTTAATTGAAAAAGGAAAAAGTCTTGATCTTGGTATCGTCGGAAATTAGTAATGCCTGTTTCAGCAAAGAATGTGGCACCCTATTTTCCACAGTCTACTTGTAAGCCGATCCCTACAAACTCCTTACCTATGCCAGTTCCCTGTGCCAAAAGTGTATGTGGAGGAGTGGAGAGATACAACGGCCACGTGGTGCTCAGGGTGATCACACCGTCACGTACAAAGAGCCATGGCGTTACTAAGCGAGCTTTTTTTTGTTTGTTTGTTTTCAGGAACAAACATTACACTTTGGAATTCTCATTTTAGGAGTTTGATTTCAAAACGAGTAACATTAAGTTCTGAAGTACAGAAACAGTCCCGTTATACTCCTACGAACCGGGAAATAGCTTGAATACCAGTCACTACACATTTTCTAGTGTGTTCTCAAGTTAATCCGCAAAGTTAAGAATGCTTTACTTCGTATACAATTACCAGCAGTTTTCTAACTTAATTTTCCTTGTTAACATGTAAACAATTATATATATATATACATATACACTCAATAATGATTTTGAAATTCGCTCCCATGTTTTTCTATTTTTTTAAAAGAAATATCGATGACATTATAAACCTAAGGCTAAAAATCTACTGAAGAGAATCTGAGAATCATAATAAGAAATATAAAATATACTGTCGAACACAATTCTAGTCATTTTTGCCATAATGCTAAGAAATAGAATAAAAATATTTGCTGCACAACAAATATTAAAACGATTTTTCAGCCGAAAAGTACCATACATACCTGACAGACTTTCCTCGCACAACCTAGGGAATGCGCCTAAATTGAGTTTACAAATCGTTCTGTAAAGATTTTTAACGGGTCACGTGGTTGCCAGCATGTCAGCGCCTGCTTGGAGGGCGAGGTCGAGAGTGAGGGCGAAGTCGTTATTTAACCCACACGATTCCAACTGCGTTCAAATAAGGGTCTTGTTCACGGCGTCATCGTTAGCTTGATGTTGTCGCAACAGTGTCGCTCACTAAATATAAACATGAATTGCATGTAAACTTGAATATCTTATTTATATGGCTGTATTGTGACATGGTATTTTTTAACTTAGTGCCATCTTCTTGTATACATAGTGTTGTATTATCTGTACAGTTTAGCCAGTACATACTTGCGCACAAGTTACAACAAAAATTATAACATAATATTTACAGTGGAGGAATTCATTAACTGGTCTTTGGAACACTGATCAAGTCGTTTTCTCTTCTGAATATCCTAGCACAGACTTCCTGATTGTAGACCAACCTTCAGTCCTAAATTACCCTGGTACCGACGCTGATCAAGGAGGAAAAACTAATTATACTAGTTGGTCCTAGGTGGCTCGTTGGAGTTACGTGCTACGATGTAAGTAAAGGTGTCGAACGCCCCTGCATTTTTTCTCAATTTAAGCTGGAGCGGTAGAAATTTGGTTATCATGCGAGGTTATATAGAGCTCTCAATGTTAAAAAGTTTCAGGTCCTGAGTCAATTGTTGTCTGACACACTTTATGGCGCCGGTGTCTGACTGAAAGAGAAAAAAAAATAGTGTAGCCTTATGTATTAGGTCGCTCATTTGGAAATACTTGGAGGTGTCAATGTCGCTTCACATTATTTCAAAAATTAGTTTTCACCTTGTTTGATTCCTTTTTTTATAACTTTCACTTACTGACTTGCCACCAGATGTTTACGTGCGTATTTATAGTTATAGTTCTTTTTTACTTACTTTCTTATTTTTTTTTCTTTTTTTGGCTTTTGGTTCTGACTCAGGCACAAAACAGCAGGATATGGCTCAGAGGAAAACAGGCCTTGAGCAATGCCGAAGCCGGCTATCACATTTTTTTTCCGTAGATTAAAATGACCTTCTCCCACCTATGCCCTCCTGGTTTGAGAGAAAAAAGGGCCGGTAAGCTCAATAGCATATCAACCACCACGTCAACATGTCAGGTGTTAGTCGAGACCAATCTTACCAATGGTCAGGAGAAATTTCCATGGTAAAGCCTTAAAAAGAAAGTAACATAAATGTTATTAAGCAGTAACTGGAAAGGGTACATTTGAGAAATAAATATGCGTATTTGTATACATTTTTTTTTTTTTAAATATTAAAATCCTGTCAGTAGAGTATAAACAGACCATACACATGCTAGTCTTGTGTTGTGTTATTCTAATTAGGAAATGTAAAAAAAGATACAGATTTGTTCCCTACGCTATATATATATATATTTCTGGTTGATTACAATAAGTGGGAAATGCAAACAATTTGATGAATGGTTTATATAGCAGCTGGAATTTGAACGTGACCTGTGTGCATTTGTTTTGGTGTGGAGACATTCTCAACTAACACAATCACAGTGTCGCTTTGTTTCCATAAAAAAAAAAAAGACGAGACTCAGATAATGCAAACAGATGTGATTGGATAAATGAATGCTTGTATGATTTCTTGGTCTCGGTGTAAACTACTGAATTAATTATATGGCCCAATATAAACGACGCAAGACGCTCTGGCAAAACGTACCAGGACATCTCAAAATACGACAACAACGGTAAGCAATTTTATTTTTAGTTTAGGAATAATTCGTAGTCTAACATGGTTATAAATATGCAAAACCAGATATTACAATTATACAATTTATTCGTGTACATGTATAACCTTTGAATAAATATACTATAGGAATTAATAGACTTTCATGTGTCAGCGGTATATACAAATTATGTATCCATTGTGCCTACATGGCGTGCTTCTTTGTTATCATCTTCAATTTGAGCGTTACGTTATTAAAATGTAAACAATCGCCCAAAGTGATACTTGAAGTCCAATTATTATCATTATTACTATTATTTTAGATGGATAGTTCGCCCATGTACACGTTTACCTTCGTGTTAAGCCTAGTGCTGTCTACAGGATGTAATGCCAGGGGCCGTGAACTATTTACACGTGAGGTGAGTTCCATGTGATATCCATGCACACATAGGGAATATATTGAGGAGATGATTAAAAGGTAGGGCCTATTTATCAGAAATTCCACTGGAATTCCACTTGAGTCCATAGTAAGTTAGTCAAATAAACGTCAGTCAGCTGCTAAATGTAAGGTCCAGTGTCAGAGTTATACATTTTTTCTCATTATTTCTCATTAGTCAAATAAAGTTTACTTAAATGGAATGCCAGGCCATATCGGTGCTCTTTGGATCGAGTCCCACTTCATCATATTAGGTTAGTTCATACCACGTGGGAACTAGGATTTAACATAAGTCAATATAAAATCAGTTATTCCATTACATATAGTGTTACCTGTGTGCACATGGTGATTTGAATATTATATAAGACAATTTTTCATGCATGGTATGCATTTCTAATCGCTGACATAGGATCAAATTGTTGAAATTAACTACACGCTTGACAAAAGAGTTTTGGAATATATATTGTCTTAGAATTAATATGAATTTTATATATTTTTGTAGTTGAAAATTGCAAACAATACAATGCGGTGCAAAAGAAGATAGATCTAATTTTCAAACCTAAAATTCACGTTGATCCCTTAAATATTTTAGATATATACACTGCAAAAGAACATTATATACTGTTAGCAATTATATGATGCATCAATCAGCAAATATGATACTATAATTTATATTAATATACAGGTTAAAGAAGACAATGCGATATCTGGTCTTTTGAGAGAGAAATTAAGTAAAAGTTTTAGAATGAGGGACATCAATGGAGATGGGAAGGTTACCAGGTTGGAGTACGTAGAGGGAACAGCAAATAGAAGTCGTCAAGTCTTGTCCCCCTGGAGAGACAAGGCCGTTTACGGAGTGATGAGCGCCGATTGGGATTCTTTTTTTCTTCCTGGAACAAAAATAAGAGACGAATTGAGTCTCAATTTGTGGCTTGATTTAGTCATATTGTGCTCCTCCTCGCTGGTTTTCTCTCAACTGCAGTGGTGTTGGAACTGGTTTCATATCATAGATGATGACTGTGATGACAAAGTCTCTCTCAGAGAATATGCAAACTTTTTCTTCATATTCTATAGCGCAATGCCCCCAGAAGAACCATTCAAAGCAATTGACCACGATCACAATAGTTTCATGGAGGCGGAGGAATATGTAATGGGTTGTTTCCATTATATGTTTGACCAAAAAGACGCAAAAGCAGCAGAATTCTATGGAAGTCCAAAATACTGAAGAAGACAAAAACATGTATGTCAGAAGGAGTTCGTTCTAGTCGAATTCCTTATATCTCTCTTCCAAATAAAATTCTTTTTGACAAAACAATTCAAAATAAAGTTGTCATCAGCAAACCTTTATCTTTTCCGAGTCATTTATTACAATATCTTTTCTTAGCAGTGGCGGAACTAGGGGTGTCAGGGGTTCCTGATCCCCCTTTTTCGATTTCCGAAGAAAATTCATACCAATGGTCCTCTTTTGAAAAGTAGAATTTTGTTTAGCTGAATAATAGTTCTTAACCATACCAAATGGCTACCCTCTACCAGGGCGACTGATAGATTTTTACGGATATTCACAGATATGTCTCTAGCTAGATAGATTGTCATTTTAACTCTAAGTCACCCTGTACAGAAATGCCATCTGAAAGCAATTATCTTTGCCCGCGCGCAGAGGGCTTTATTCTCGCTCTGCTTGAGCTTCGCTTCGAGACGATGTGCTAACTGCACGTTACGCAACCTGTCTAGGCTCTGCTGTCTGTAAAAACCAGTCACGTGGTTGGAAGGGGTTTCCCGAAGTGAGCCGTATCCCACAATTCCGTACTGCAGCTTAAAAAAATGGCGGCTACCACGCCCGGTGTTTTAACTTTCCTTATGCATAATTACCGAATGTATAATTATGCATAAGCAAGGTTATACATTAATTATACATTCGGTAATTATGCATAAGGAAAGTTACACATTAATTATTTATAAAGGAGCATGATTTCCTCCGAAAAAAAACGAGAAAATAGAGAGGTAAGACGTTCTAACAATTTATTCTTGGGGGTATCTCCTTTCTAATGCAATTATATAGACTCTGTTTAGTCTTTTTTTATCACTTATATATTACTGACTCTTTGAAAAACGTCTCCTGCAGTTAGGATATGCTGTAGGCTAATAGGTTAAGGCAACGTGATTCGGGAAAAATCTTATCTTCTGAAATAATTATATCTTGGTTTTAGACTCAAGAGTTCAATTGTTATGGGACCGAAAAGTGGACCGTACACAAGTTCTTTGAAAGTGGTCACGTTGGAGAGGAGATTTGGATTGGAAAGACAAATGTTAGGGAAGCTGGTCAAACAATTATTTCCTGATGCGGAGTTAAAAAGAAAAAAGGGCGGAAACTCATTTTATGTCGGGATCCGGCTGAAAGATGAAAACCTCCAACCCCCAACCTGTCTTTCAACACATTCCTATACTTATTTGACAACAACAGAGAGACTGAAGAAGGAGCTGGAGGAGACCAAAAGGATTGTTCTGTTTCAACAGCAAGAAATTTTCAGGCAAAATGGTGCAATACTAAGAAAGGATGCTGAGATAGAAAGGTTGAAGGGGGCTCCTGATCAGGAATTTAGCAATTTAAAAACAGCCATGGTGAAATAAAGTGAAGAAAGGGACAATGGCCTCATAACATGCTCTTTTGAGGAATTGAGGTCCACAGTTATCGAGAAAGCCCCACAGCTCAGCAGCATGCTACTATCTCTAATGCAAAAAGGGCATACAGACTGTAAAAAAACTGAACTTGTGTCAACTATAGCGATTCAAAGTACTTGACTTAGAGTTAAAATGACAATCTATCTAGCTAGAGACATATCTGTGAATATCCGTAAAAATCTATCAGTCGTCCTGGTAGAGGGTACCAAATGGCACAGTTCGCCCTCTAAAATACCAAATGAAGGGTCCCAAACCCCAACGCAAGGGGGGGGGGCGTCTTTGCATCTGCAGACCCCCCCTTTTAAATAATCCTGGATCCGCCCCCGCTAAGTCATATTTTTAAAAAGTCAATGTTT